ATGACACACGTCGCATCTAATTTGAGACTCAACATTTAAATTTCGACGGAAATTAAAACTGGTCAGTTCAATAACGCTTTCTCCATGCACTTTCCGTTATATTCGAGTTTATGAGATAAATATAAAACCTGCACGCTGAAAGAGAGAGTAAGCATTACTAATGTAACCTCTGAAAATAGTGTATGTACTTACGACGTCTATAATATGTGTACAGAATGTCATTTTCGTTGGCATAAAACTGGTCGTTTTTTGATAATCTTACAAAGGTGTACTCAGAACCCTTTCCTGGAACCATTTCTAGAAGCAATCGATTGGGATACAAAATTTAATAAATGTATGCGGAAAGTAAGGAGAAGGTTCTGAATACATCTTTTTTAAGCTTTTATTCTTTGAAATTTCTGAATGTTTAGGTCATATTTGTATCAAAATATAACATATATGAAATTTTATAACTCTCTTATAGACATACAAAAATTATTGACTAACGCACTTTCGTTCGCAGAATCTTTAAACCTCTCTCCTGGAAAACTGTTATTTAGCAGATGTGGCCATATTACACCAAGGTGCGTTATTATAAAAATATATTAAGTAATAGTCGCCCATTTTTGTTTAAATATAACGAAATTTATAAACAAACGTTCCCAAAATTTAAAAAGTCATTACCATGACCATATAGAGCATAAATAGCCTTTTGTATTTATTTATACAACGGTTTAAAAGGTTGTATTACATTGTTTTTGACTATTTTGATATGTTCTTTAGCATATTTCTAAAATTTATATAGTTTAATAATATTTTTCAATCTGGAGCATCCTTTGCTGGAAATGTCCGCATATGAATGATCATAATTATAATATCATGATATATAACATATATCTACAGACTAGTCTTCTTTACACTTTATTAATATTATACGCACAAGGGATAAATTGGATTGTTGCGTTGTTACGTAAAGTAGGATTTCTGAATTCCTGCTCGTTCTTAAGGGCGGCAATTTGTTCCCAGTTTAGTGTAGAGACGCACCTATCAAAATTCGGCGCGTAGTTTCGGCGCTTCCAGTTTCAAACAATCAGAAATTTTATACAATTTTATTTCTGAGGTGTTTTTTTTAAACCGCACCCTTGAGGTAATAAGATCACATCTGCAAAATGACACCTTTTTAGGAGAGAGGTTCAAAATAATTAAGTTCTACGAATTAAATTAGTCGATAACTTTTTTAAGCTTAAATATGTGATTTATAATATTTACATATGCATTATTTACTTAATTTAATTCGAATTAATTTTTGACTTTTATGTGATAAAAGTATTTCAAATCACATGTGGCTTTATTATACTAAAGGTACGAAATAGTGAAAAAGAAGCCGTGGTAGTCTAATTGTTTGACCTACCGCCTCTCACGCAGAGGCCATGGGTTCGAATCCGGGCATTTTATTTGAAAATTTAATCCAGGCATTCCGGAAATTTAATTTGAAATTTACCATGAGCTTTTCCGTGAAGAAAAACATCGTTGAAACCTGCACGTTAAAGAAGGTTCACAACCCTAGAATAACGTGGGAAGTCCCCAACCCGCATTTGGCCAGAGTGGCGAATCATGGCCTAAACCGTCGCCTGAGAGAAAACCCGTGCCCAGCAGTGGGACGTATAAAATGGTTTGATGATGATGATAATGCCGAAATTACGCAGCTTAATTTTCGCTAGGCTTACAAATACAACCTAAGTCAATCGGACTAATTGCTTATAAGATGTACCTACCTCACTTTGTATATAACACCTACAAGTAACCAAAACATTAAGATCGCCTAAAAGGTGTACAGAGGAAATTTAAAGGTTGATAATAATCTTTATATGACAGATGGTGCGTGTGTATGTTTAAAGAACCCTAAAAAATACAAAAACTTCCTGCTAGCCAGTTACCGTTTCCCCGACTTAAATTTAGCAAAATAAGAAATAATTTAAGAAATAAATGTTATAGGTAAATATGTATAGTTAAGAAAGTGACGATTCTGTTTTCACATAAAAGTTTTTTTACACAGTTGTTCAAACCTCAGTGTTTTCTGCTATAATGATAACGAAGTATAATTTACCGTAGACCCTTAGCGGCAATACAATTGGGAATAAAAAAAATCTAAATTCTTTTTGTATTAAAAATTTGAAATTCAAAAATTTGTGATGAATGGTTTCATCGTTTTAGGATTTAAATCGCGTATATTTGATTTTGCAATCATCGTTTTGAGCTCTTTACCCCGTCACTTCCTTTGTTTGAAAACATTTTTTTTTAATAATATACGCGATATTTTAATTAATTGTTAATATTGGAAATGAAACTATTTTTCCGCATTTAAATCGCGTATATTTATTTTTTCAAACAAACCGACGTTTCGGGCCCTTTACAGGTCCCATAGTCACGGTTGACGTTAATATAACAATTAATTATTAACAATTAAGATATAACGTTAATTGTTAACAATTGTTATTTCTGTAGTAAATGTTCTATGTAGCGAGTAAGGTACTCTCTTACTTATGGAATATTTAATCGTACAGGTACCCGTCTCTACATACTACAGTGTCTCCAACGACGAATATTTCCTAGGTGAAGCCTGAGCACTTTTATCTTTTCTTCGACATATATTTAAGCAATTGTTTTATTTTAAACGTTGTATGTTTTGTGTTGAACAATAAAGTCTTTTTATTATTATTTATTTTAATTTTTTTAGATACATAAGAAAATACTATAATTTCGAATGTCGCAAAAAAATTGCAAAACTGCGGAATGAAAAATCATTAGTAGTTTCGTAGAAAACTATATAGAGATACTGTTAAAAGAACGCTTTCCAATTATGCAATACGTTCACAATAGAAAGAACAATAAACCGTATTTTGTATTTAAATTGATACTGCCGAGAATGAAACCAAAAAATAAACTAGAACTTAGAAGCAAATCGCAAAATGAAAGTCAAAACTTTACGCAAATTGACCTTAGTCAAAATTGGACTCGACATAACAAAAATGTCGCATCACCCATTGTGCTCATTGTAATGTTGAATTCAAATACAATTTTAGTGTTATTTACTTCTGCAGCAATATTGCACAAGATGTAAACAATCTGAAGATGGCGTATACCGTGAAGTCTTCTTGCAATACAAAACAATAGAATGAGGGGTTGCAACATTTTGCTTCAGTAAGGTTTTGTAGCTGCCATATCTGTTCGAGATAACGATAAGCGAAAATGACATCCATCATAATTTTTGTAATGAGCATTTTTCAGGTCTGTTGTAAAACTGTTCTAAATGTTACTTGTTATTGATTGTAGTTAGGTTGATAAGATATGTGTAGAAAAATGTGAGTAATGGAAATCTTTTTAACTGACTTCACAAACAGGACTCCTTCATTCGTCTGTATTTTTTGTATGTATGTTACGAGTTTACTTCGATATTTGTGATTCGATTTCGATGATTCTTTTTTTGTTGGAAAGGGGGTACCTTATTAGTGGTCCCATTCAAATTTTTAAGAAAATATTCCACCTCTATGGGGGGTAAATTAGGGAATGAATCCGGTTTATTCAATTTTACCCACTTTCCTTTAACCGATGTCAATAAAACTTGGCACATAGATGTAATTCCATAGAAAATAAAAAGGAAACTTTTGGGGTCTTATTTTTATAATAATGTTATAATTGTGAACAAAGTCAATAAGATAATCAAATACGTAGTTAATTAGCACGAAAACTTTCTGTCGGAATTGTGGATAGCAATTGCAAATCAGAATACATGTTATTAAGTGTAATAGGTAGCTAATGGTTGTACGTACAGTAGATAATATTTATTACAATCTATTTGCTACCATTCACATATTAAGTTTTCAAGAAAACCCCGCTGGTATACCTATAAAACTCGATGTCTGTGACGCTTGACCTACTTTCCACACGAGCGTACTACATGTTCCCACGTGGATCTTAAGTTATTAAAAATAAAGTACAGTTTCCTATGAGAAATAAAATGTTTGAAAAACACAAAAAGCCGTCAGCTGCGTGTGGTAAAAAGCGTTAAGCACATGCAAATGCGTAGTACGTAAAACATTCGCAATATTGAAAGATAAATTTGAACGTAAGTGAAAGTAAAATTATGCAACTTTCTACCACTGAGCAATTGTCGGAGATAAATATGTATTAACCGCTGTTATACTACGTTTTTAATGACCGATGTTTTAATGCAATGGGTTATATTTAATTACTAACTTCAATAAAATTCAATTTTGAGTTAGATAGCGTAGCATAATTTTGAATTGTGGATATGGCTACTAGATATTCCTATTTTCATTTGCACGTGTATCTAGCGATCCTTCCTCGTTTTTTACGGTTAGATTGATAGCCGTAAACATTTTTTCGTTGTTGGCTTTGGATGTTAGCCTGAATGATAGGACTTTTATTGAAGAATTTAAATGGCTATGATTATAATGAAGCCGTATAGGGTAATATATATTATTCTTATGTATTTATCTTCCATTTATCCTTATCCTATTATATAGGGTCCGAGAAAGAAGTCTTCTTCTTTCATTCATCTCCCGCCAACTCGTTGTTCTATTCCTCGTTTATCATTCACACAATCTATCCACCTTTGGTCTTCTGGTTGTCTTCTTCCTTTAAGACATCCGTTACCTAAATGTCCATACCACGATTTCTATTGTATATATTATTTTATAATAATTAATAGAAAATCATTGAAATTATATATAAAGGTGTAGTGGGTTTTGTAAGAGATAAATTACAGATTTTCAAAAAAATTTTTATACGAATGATCATATTAATTATTATGACTTATTAATATTGAAGATTATTTTTTGTTTTGAAATTTTTTCACGTTTTTTCTTCGCGTAATATATAAAAAATACCTACATTACCCTTCGTGAAGATAAAATAACCTAAGATATTTTTTAAGTGATGATATTAAAATTAACCACACACTTAAGCACCAATCACCGGAAATCCACAAAATCCTGTACCTTTTCAGGTGCGATCCGGATAGAAGAAACAGTTTCAGGATAACACAGCAAGCTACCGATCACTGTTCCAGTTTACTTCAGATTGTTCTAAATACACTAAAGCACTTGATCCTTGATGTCTTTATGTCACAGTCTAAGGGATTGTTTTCACTTTCGTTTACGCGCGTGCGCAGTACAGCGGGCGGCACGCGGTTGTCGAGCGCACTGGTCGCGGCCGCCGGCGTCTGCGCCGTTTTATATGCGTGAAAGTTGCGACCGCCTGCATCACAAAGACTATCCCGGATCAGTTTGCCGTGGATTTGGATTTTGAAATCCTTGCTGACGGCATAGCTTCATGTTGTTGTGAGTAAGCTTGAATTTGAGTGGGAGCGCGATGTTGTTTAAGGATGTTATAATGATGAACGTTCGTAATATACTCGATTTCGTCATATTTATATCAAAGAAGAAATAGAGAATCACTTACTTATGTGCGACACAAATGTCATTAAATATATTGAATCTGTAAAAATGATGTATTATTATTCAGATTCGAATAATAACAATACTTTGGTACCTTTTCGAAACTTGACACATCCCAAGTTTTAAATAATTTGATGTCATATATACTGAGTTATTTTAGAAACTTTTGACATAACGTGATAAATTTACCAAAAATAAACTTTTAGGTTTTTTTTGTAATATCTGACACTTTTTATACCTGTATTTGGTAGTTAGGTAGTAAGTTCAAACGCGCAAGCGTCCTCTCCGACGATTCCTGCGTTTTGCACAGTTATTACCGTTTAAACCGATCTAGTTAAATATTTTTCTTTTTGTATGAAAGTAACATCTGATGAGTTGTCAAAAATCATGCAACTTAAGCTGTTGTTTATGATGTTAACAATGGAATACAGTTCCGCGAGGTTGTTAGTACTGTACAAATAACCCTGTATAATGTAACATTTGTCTGTGTGCTTTAAATCTTTGTATTATTTTGTAGGTAGTACGTGTAGTACCACGTAATATCACTTATATGACTATAACAATTTGGCAATGCACCACTCTATCTATATTTTAGTGCATTGTCCGTTAAAACATTATAAATCAAAGAAAGAGAATTCTATTGTCATGGTTATTGAAAGATAGCTTCATTGTTTCAAGACGTTTGCTCCGCATTAGGGTGCAAGTACTGTTACAAATTGTCTCCAATCTTGTTCTTCTTATTACTTGGAGTAGACAAAATCAAAAACGGCACTAAGGCGCTCATTGTGACTAATGTTACGCATTTTGTGACAGTTTACAATTAACCTTTGAATAGTTTTTCAAACTCACAGAATTATATCTTACAATTGCAATAATATCATTAATTAGTTTTAATTAGTGTTTAATTAATAAAGTCCCATAATTTTTTTTATTTTAGTAGTAAATGTTTAGGTTTTTAAATAAATTATTACGTACAAACTATAACTCTACTATGCCAACCTCAATAAAGAAATGCATCATATTTATCATTATAAGAAATTATGCTTTTCATAAGTATATACATATATACTTGTGCTTCTTTTTAATAGGTTGTACTCTAATTAGTTTCAAATTTAAATTATAAAGAATAGAAAAATTATTTATATATCCAATCTTCCATATCCACTTAATTAATTGTGATGCTTTACGAACTCACAATTTCAATAGGAAAGACATCGACGAAATCGGACACGTACAAATTGTACCTACAACATTACTATCGATGCTTTTAGATTTCGTAAGTTTTTAATATACTGAAAATAATAATAATATACGTAGAGATAGTAAGTAGTTAACGAAGTCACCGTTCCGCAAAGCATTGTTAGAGTTAAGTAACACAATAGACGCCAGTCACACATTAGATCACCGTAGACGACAGTGGAAACAGAAAGTAATCGCCAAATCCGCGCACCTTACAATGGGCAATTTATTCGATTTCACTCTTTCCGTCATTTCATATTTCTGGTGCGCGAGCGCTGAACGGTTGCGGGGCTTTGCGTCGACGCGGGCGGTAACTTGCTGCAACCGCCACGGTCATAGATCTCTAATTAATTTTCTCGTACGAGGTATCCGAGTAAAGTTTTTTGTTTTAATATACCTACTTAATTACAGTGAAGTAGTATTTAACACTTATTTATGATTAGAATGGCTCCACTTTTGATTTCTTAGAAACAGCAGAGCATCGACTTTTCATTCAACATCTTTTTGTTTACTACTTTGTTTAAAAACTTTTTAATTAGATCCGAATCATCTATATTGTAAGTCACACACGCGACTTCGATGTCCTTTTGAAAACTGCTTGACTGGTGTAAGTGTAACATCTATTTAGCTTTTACTAATTTTGCAACAAGGTTATTATTATTAGACGCATGTTAATATTCTACACTATTAGCCATCTAAACGAGTAATAATAACATGCTACCAAGTAACAACAACATTGATGTGACACTTAAACTTTCCAACAAAATGGAACAGCACGAATTCGGGTTGCATTAGTCATTGTAGCCCAGATCCGATTTGCATAAGAGGCTTACCATTAGACATTATTGCAACTGCGTCGAAGTAACGCATTCGAAATAAGCGAAAGTCACATTGTGTTCAGAGAGGATCAAACAGGTATGAATAATAATACCGCTTATAATGAATACTCTAGTATGATTGATTAGTGCATTGTGATAGATTGAAGAATCTTAAACGAGGCCGGAAATTGGATTTTTGCAGGTATTCTTAAGATTGATGTTGTTTATTTTATTTTTAAATACATCTCAAACTAACAGTCATGATACGAGTATGTTATTGTTAACACCTAGCAGTTCTTTCATCTTTGTTTAAGTTGCGCAAGTTCAAGTTTGTAATATTTTCTCTGTTTAATCATCTATGGATTATAACTCGATCCCGGGTCATCACGACTGGAATGTAATATTATCCGCCATTGACCCTAAACTAGCATGGCCTGCCTTATTATTGGGTTATGCAACATTCGTCAAAACTGCCATTAGAATGGGTTTGGCGTCGAATACCTCGATTATTCAATGAAGCGGACGCGTTCGGAATGGGGGCGGATCTTGATTATAACATAACTGAATGAGGAAAGTGAGAGTAGGGATTTGTTGACGTCAACGCTTTTGTGACTAAGTGGATGTCCGTGTTTTTGCGCAACCCTTTGAAGTGTCATGCTTGGGTTTTGTAGGTGACATAAGCGGAGACTTGCAAAAGATCGTTACAAAACTTGTTTGTCTATATTGCTTTGGGAGATCACATTTGTGTAGAATGACTACATGGTTTGGGACAAACCATAAGGGACGTCAAAGTGTTATTAGGAGTGGTGTTTATACCTTTGTGTATTATTGCTCTTAGCGATTCTTAGAGGAAGGACATTGTACGTTCTGGCTCAATAGCTTTGCTACGTCTTGCCACTTGAGCCGCTGTGTTCTTTGATCTACTGTGCGTAGTTCAGTGTATATAGATTTGTGATATTCATGTAAAAAGTCCTGGGTTCGTGTCATAACTGCTCAGGGCTAAGACTATTGATATGCTATCGAAGAGTATTCCATAGGAATGGTTTCTTTACTTTTCTCGTTGAGATTGCTTCTGCTGCCAGCTTGATACCCTTATATTTCTCCTTGAATACTGTATTTGTGTGGTGACATCAAGTGTTGTTGAAATTTTTATGTTAAGGTCTTTTGAGAATTTATTTCTATAAGAACAATTACGTATTATCTTTTTAAAGTATGCGTATTAACAGTGTCATGAAGATTTTCTATCATCTCCGCCGCACATCGCACACTGCCTACAACAGCGTGACGAGTCAAAAATATCTTTTGGTTTCGTTGTGCATACAAGCAGAAACTTTCCTGCTGTTGAGTAAAAAATATAAGAAATACGATGAACAACTTCATAATAAATCGAAAGTGCATCAGCTAATGCTAATGTACTTTTGACGATTGATCGTTTGGGTATTTATTCCAAAATAATAATAAAAATATAACCATCACATTTTACTTGTCACGTTTGCCATTTTAAGTTGTGTTAGTGTTGAAATAAATGTAAAATAGTTAAATAGATTTTACAAAGGCAACTACAGACTACAGGTATTTTATGATAGTATTTTTTTTAATCTATATTTAAATACTCTTTTTTGGGGCCTTAACGAATAATTTTTAATCATAAATTTTGGCAGATTATACATTTATAGAATTTTTTTTTAATAATAATAACGCACACTCTCAACATAGCCCCGCACTAGGGATACACATAGACAACCACAAATTATACCTACCCAAACTTACGAGAGAAATAAATGTAGGCCATACAAATACTTCTCCCGGCCCGGGAATCGAACCTCTGCGTGGCAGTCCGTGACAGTCATGGTAACCGTTCGGCCACGGAGGAAGTTTGCTGAACTTGTACGTACCATATTATAAAACCAATTAAAATAGCAAGTGCAGATTCATTTTGTTCTCACGACAATAAACCTAGCAAGTACAAGTTTTCTTTATGCATCCGCGTACAAGTAGAAAATTTCCGAAGTTCAACAAACTTCTTAATTTGCATATTAACTCGCATGTTATTTATTAGTCAAACCTGTTACATATAAAATTTCACTTATATTATATCGTTCATTCAATTCCATGAAGTTGCATTTTCTCATATAAAATGTTATCACTTTCGCTCGTCCAAGAATGCTTGTAAGATACGAAACGATCTCGTCTTTGTGTGCAGATTAGGCTCTACATCATGGCAGAAGGTGTCCCATTGTTTTTGGTGTACTTGTACATGTGAAGTTAAGTGAAATTACTCCAAACCATTGTTTAGTGGTTCCCTAATTTATAGAAGTCACTTGATATTATAAAAAAAAAAGTAGTTGGTTTTAGAGACGCGAATATTGTTAGTTATTTGAACGATTTGTGATTGATTAATATCCATTTTTATATTACTTTGTGAGATTAAACGACAAATCGCACCTTTTGTGTAATATTTTTCAGGAGAAAGATTTAAAGGTATGTATGTATGTTAACGTATGAAATTAGTCGATAACTTTTTTAAGCTTAAATAGGAGAATTATAAAATTTCACATATACACAATTTATTTCATATACCTAGTTCGTATTTTTAAGCGACTTCAAAATAGGAGACGTTCTCACTTCGATTGTATTTTTAGACACGCGATTACTCCGACGTTTGCGAATTTTCCTTGATTCTTTTTTATAATCGGAAAGGGGTTACCTCGGTATTGGTCCTATTGAAATTGTAGACAATATCTCTGTATAAACCTTGGCATATGGAAGTAATTCCACAAACTTTTCTGGTCGGTTTTTTATAAACATGTTATAATTACATTATTATGAGTTGCATTTGTTAAAAGCATTTTTGCTATCTCATGTGGCTTTATATCATTAAGGGCGCGTTCCCATGATGTCGTAACGTTTTATTTATCGTTCGATGACTGTCGTGTCTAGCTTGGTCCCATATCACGACAATCTGTCGTGACTATGTCGTGGACGTTTATTTTATCGTTGAACGACTGTTGTGTCTAGCTGTTCTCACTAGATCGTAACGACAATTTATCAGTTCTCGGAAACCGTCTTATCGTTTGCACGACAGAATAGTTTGAAGTTACTATTATCTGTCGTCACATTTTTATCGTGACGTTCTACTTATCGTCGGACTTACTCTGACTGACGCTTCCTTTATCACGTCGTGAACGACAGTTAATCGCGTTTTACTATATGTGAACACCTTCATTTAATTATACAAGCTACGGCACTTTAAACCGCACGACTATCTGTCGTCACGACATAATGGAAACGTGCCCTAAGGGTACGAAGAGATTAGAAAGATTAGAAATTATTCACCTATTAAAAAATCTCCTATAAAATCTATGTACCTATTCCTAAAGTATAGTTTGTATAAGTAATTCTTATTATCCTTTGCGACTGGATGCCAGGCAGACAATACATGTAGGTATATATGCGTGGTAGCGAAAGTTGTTTCAAATATTTTTTTTTTCATAATACTAAGTGACGGGACGAATAAGTCGTGCGCCTGGTGGTAAGCGATAAGCCTATCCATAGCAGTTGCAGTGCCACTCGGAACTACAAATCGTAAATATCTCAGGCGCATTGCCACTGCGCCCGTCACTCTGAGACATAAGTTGACAATGTCCCATGTGCCTCTAGTTTCACCAGCACCCTTCTAAACTGGAACGCAATAATGCTCACATTATTCCTTGGCGACAGAAATAGGTAAGGTGGTAGTACTTCCCTGGACTCTTTCACGAGGAGCTCTACTGCTACTATCATGCCTCTTCTACCCGCTAGCAAATTTATTTTAATTGTTCTACGAAATGTTAGTGCTATTAAGTACAATAAGCGGAGCAACAGTTATACCAACTCTAATGAACGTAAGCGAAGTTCAAGGCGCGTATATTATGACTACTTACATAACATTTGAATGCAGCGGCGCCCGCGCAGATGAAAGTCGTATAAATCATGTATGTTGGAAAGCTTGGAAAAGTGCTCACGCATACATTTGGGTATTAATTAATGTTTGCACCGAGGTACATTTATTTTACTATCAATGACAACGCTTATTTGAAAAAACATTTTATGTGTTTTTTTATTAACTTATTGTAAGCTAATAACTGGTCTGACGGCGAAAGAAAACCATGTTTAGGAAACCAACATGGCGGGCGGAAAGAATCACAAAATTAATATAAGATTTTTGAAGACTACATAACACGTTGAATGTAAGTGCATAAGTTTAACCTCATAACGTTATGGCTCAATACAGTACAATAGTAGGTACAGATAGTAAGCGACACGCCTGTCCATAGCAGTTGCAGTGATGTGAGGCGTACTGCAACTGCGTTCGTCACCCTGAGATATAAGTTACCAAATCCCATGTGCCTGTAATTTCAACAGCTCCCTTACCTTTCAAAACCGGAACGCAATAATGCTCACATTACTGTTTGAGGGCAGAAGTAGGTAAGGTGGCAGTCACAGACCACTTGTGGCAGTAGTTCCCAAGGTGCACTCTTTCACAAGAAGTTCTACTGCTACTAAAACATATTTCCAACGAGGTCATATCGAGGTGATAATCTAATATAATGTAATAGTAATATGTAATGTGACAAACAAATACACCACCTGGTCACAAACCAGGAAATTCTCTGCTGTATGAGTACCAGAGCAAAATAATTCACTCTGGAGCCAGACCATCACCCAGAAATTTTGAAAAGTTCATTTTCCAAATTGGTCGGGAATGGAACCCGGGAGCAAGAGCTCCAGGCTGCCCACAGTGCTAACTGTTGGCACACCGAGGTCGTCTTCATCGTGTAGGCTACTTATATGGAATACAATTGTATGTAGATACTTACAACCTTTTTACAGTAACTTAGAATAATTAAATAATTTCATTACGTAAGAACTTTCATCTCCTTACTTAATCTAGATTATCGTAAAACATATTTATTTAAGGCGGATGTGTCATTATATTTTTCAAGTCATGGAAATGTGGTCGTATTGTGCAATAGCTCGCGTTTGTCCCCATTGCCAATTCCTTGGATGATTCAGACGATTGTGAAAGTTTTTTTTTAATGAAACTTGCCTATTATTTCTACCAAAACTTCAAAAGATCACATTTTGAAGACCTCACACGAGCTAATTACAAATAATTAAAATTTCTAATAGAAATGTTTCGCGGTTGATATAGTTGACTTTTACAAATAATTTTTGTAAATAATACTTATTTATTTTACTTTGACAAAGTAAAATAAATAAGTATTATTTACAAAATAGATATATTTTCTTAATTAAAATTTTTCTTAACAGTTCTTGCATAAGCAGAATAGTCCTTGAATTAAGTTGTAACTGGGCAAATGGAAAACTATGTTTCTTTTAGAGTATAAAAGTTATCCTATATTAAATTTGATCCATGCGGTAAACATTAGGTAGTGTTTAATAATAATTGTACGTATACAGCCTAATTAGGCTGATATTGACAAATAAGTTTATACTGCTATAAAAAATCAAAGTGGGTACAGTAAGCGAAACTGATAAAATAATTATTACATAACTTTCTAAAGAACAACGCCCTAAACACCATGCTCCGTACAATTAACACATTATAATGTGTATACAGGCGGCCATCACTTATAGAATAGAGCAAGAGACGCTGCGCCGACGCCGCCGACGCCACTTTCACTCACTGAAATAGGCGCGATTGTTTACGTGCTAATGCGCCTTTTATGTCCTCTCTAGATGTATCCGCCTGATGTGAAGGCCGTTGACTGTAATTCCAACCAAACCCAACGCAGTATAACCACACCTTAACATTGAGATCATTATATAACCACAGGTTATTTAAAAGAAAGCAAAATAACAGGAAACTGATGTCTAAAGAAATTAATTAACTGTTCCAGTTCAGTTAAGCTTGAAGTTTTACGAGTAAGTATAAACATTAAACAGTTTTCTAAATTCACTAATTTATTTCGTAATACATAATGATATGACATGCACTTAAGAAGATGTAATCTTATTTATAATTTCACTTTCTTGTCATTAACAAAATTGGTCATATTATGAAACATTTGAGTCTGACATTTAAGTATCTATAATATGGTTTTACATCATATTTGTATAAATAAACAGTTAAGTCTTTTCAGTTCGTACCGAAGCATGTATTCGTACTTGTTAGCTAAACTAATGTATATTGATAGTACATTACAGTTTTTAAAAAGCTTTTTAAAGGCTTTCAGCTTTAAAGTAACAATAATTCCAGCATTTTCTATATGAAGATAACCTCATATAAACCATATTCATTAACATGAAATATGATAAACAGTAGGTGTTCATGGCAAATAATTCTAGGTGCTTTTACCCTGCTTTACAGCCTGGCTGTAACTGTAAGGTCTAATAGGACTAGCTTTTCCCTGACTGTCATAGAAGTTAATAAGCTGTTTAACGCTACCAGGTCCTGGAGTTGTAATAGGATTGTTGACTGGCGCCGGATTCACAGGTTTCGGTGTAATTGGAGTTGGAATCGAAACAGGCTTGGCAGGCGGAGCTGCCGGTTTCAAAGGGGCAGGTGTTGGGTTTTGTGGTGTCTGTGGGACTAGTGGCTTTGGAGAGATTATTGTTGATGGTTTTTGGTTCACTGGTTGCTCTGGCACTGGTTTCACCGTTATCGGGATTGGTGCAGGAGCAGCGGGTTTATTAGGTGGCGCAGCCCCACCACTCTCCATATTGATGAATGCGAGGTTGGCATTTTTGTCCAGAGGTGTATAGACCTTGCGACCTGGAATGGACAATGTATAAGTTGTTTTAGTTAGAGTAAGTTACGTAACATAGAAAGGTAAGTAGGTAGTTACTTAAATAAATTCTACGTGATACTTTGGGGATTTCAATTTAAACTCTGTTTTACAATGTCAGTTTGTAACTCATGACAATTGTGTAGGTTCTTAGAGATCCTTGTGTTTTATTTTTTGCTTTTTTACAGCAATATCAACTTTAACCACACCTACTGAATTAACAAGCATTTCCAGACATCTAAAGGTATATTTATTATTATGGTTTCTAACTAAAACATTTTAATTCATAAATCAATTGAGATAAAATATGATTTATACACAAGGTATGAATAAGACGTGAAGGTTTTTCTAAAATTAGATACAGCTATAACTCAAAGTTACTGCAAAAGAAAGTTACGACCAAATTATAGCTGCAAGTGATATTACGTTCAATAAATACTTTAACTTATAAATACCTACGATATAACCGTAAGTTACGAGTAATATACCAGTAAGTATCTAAGTATAATTTGCTTTCATAGATTATTTAATCTTTGAAATATCTTGACAAATTAATTAAAACATAGGTACAACACAGTCAATAAACTCAAACATACGTAGGGTAATTATGACTACCTTATAATATAATTATATTAGGTAATCGCAAAGACAAAGAACTTGAAATTTTACAAAAGATACTTACCACATTCAGCATAACAAAAAACTAAAAACAAAATAAAACTGGCCTTCATTATGTTTTTTTTCCTCTGAGCAATATGACTAGACGGCACTTTGCTGTGAAACTTATTTAACTACTGACGATTTTCTCGCCTTGTGTGGAACCAGGGTCAAATAAAACATTGCGTTGATAAAATATAGCTTGTCCAATGCCTATATACAACACTCCACATATATTATGATCGCGTTTTTATGATATTGATATAGCCAATATTGAACGTGACGTTTGGCAACCTGTAACGCTCCGACCTTTGCCCGAGATGACCTCATCACCAATAACTCAGCCGACCTCAGATTAAACCATTATTTTAACCGATGTTGTAGGTAGGATTTATTTTGTTATTTTTCTTGGTTATCGTATAGTAATTATCGAATGTTTCTTGGAATTTTGTTATTTATTGTCGTTTAAGAAGGTTATGAGATCTGTCCGAATGAAATCACGGGGAAATAATATATTTTGTATTTGAAAATTCTGAGAACGACAAAAAGCATATATCTACTATTGTTTATGTATATATTATTATTTACGTTAATAAAAAGTAACTTAGGTAGGTGCGTACTTATTAAAAAAAGTCTATATTTATTTTATTTATTTAATCGTTTATTGTATAGGAAAATCACAAATCACATTTAACAAAAGGAAAGCATAATCAAAAGGTTCTGCTTATTTCTAAAATAAATTTCTTGTTGCAGACCTAAATTACAATAAATACAATAACGGGTTTACATGTATAACAAAACAATAATTATGTAAAACAAAAACAATATCGACAATAGGTATTAAATTATTATAAACTACATAACACAAACTTTGTATTAGTCAAATGATATTACTAGTCCTTTTATGAACAGTACTTAACGTAGTACACCACACAAAAATGACAGTACTTTTCTTGCCGTACTGTTTATATTGATTCAATATAAAATGTTCAATGTATGTAAATCATTGAATTTTGTCAGTACGTTATTGATACTTCTCTATGTAAAAACAGTAGGCGGCAATTACACAGAAATCACTTGAACATCGCATGCTGAAGTCCGTGCAGTAAATAGAACCAAACACAAAAATGTCAGTACTTTCTTACCGTAGTACTTACATTGATTCAATATGAAATGTTCAATGATTTGATGATTTACATAATCATTGAATTTTATCAGTACGTTGTTGATATTTCTTTGTGGAAAAACAGTAGGAGTTGGATATCGCACTGTAAAGCCCATAGTTGGTTTTTTTAAAGATCCATATAGCGAAACGGGGTACCCCGTACAATCATATTTTGTTAATTAATTTTACGTTAAACGCTGTTACTGTCCATGAAAAGTCTAGTATACTATAGATGTTTAACAAAATGTTTCGATCTATAATGATCTCCATAATCTTATAATGTATCATCAGTTGAATGGATATAAGACGTATGCGCTATTTATTACCTTACTTTTTTCAAAAAACTATACCAATAATATAACATACGTAACGTAGCTACTTGCCACGTATCTAAAGACACTTTTATGATAATATTTTTCTATTGAATATTTCAGCTACTTAAACAGTGAGCTTGGTAGTTAAATTATCTGCATCCGGACATGCAAATGCAATAAGTGGGACGGACCTCGTCATTCGTTAGTTCTACTCTATTTTGCTGTACAAATAGTCTTTGAATACTTCATATTAGATGTGTATTTGGGGTTTCTTTAGCTACAATATGTTTTGTGTTGTTTAAATGTTTTATAGGTATTATTATGTTTTGTATGTGGATTTTATATGCCTCTTACCTTCTTTTTGGTTGTTACGTAAGGCTCTTGTGTACACTTTAGGCTTTACATTTCATGATTTAAATGCTGCGATTGCTAAGTCATTGTTGCAAGTACCTAACAAAAAATCGTTCAGAATATTCAAAAATTATTACTGTAAAATAGGGATACTTCATTTAGGGCTAGAGATAAAAATGACCTGAATTAATTTTAGTTCCTCCAGGAAAGCACTGCCACGATGTGAGCATTACTGCGTTCCGGTTTGGAAGAGTAACGATGCTGATGAGACTACAGGGACATGGGACTTATAAACTTATGTCTCAGGTTGACGAGTGCAGTGCACTGCAACTGTTATGGATAGGCGTATCGCTTACCACCAGGCGCACGACTTGTTCGTCCTGTCGCTTGGTATAATATACATAAAAAAATGAATTCGACAAATCATTTAAATATTATAATGGTCATTTTACATTTTTTCTTTTCTCTAATCTTGATTACTACATCAACTTACACGTTTCCACTGCTGGACGTAAGCTTCCCCCAGAGCACGCAAATTTTCCCGGTCCTGTGCCACCTGCATCTCAGGCCGCCCCTCGATATTGCCGCAGGGCGTCCTACCCTACGTTTACCTTGACATAGGCCTTCAGACTTCCTGCAGACATGTCTAGGCCACTGCCACTTAAGCCTATTGATTTGATGCAAGCTATGTCGGACACTTTAGTTCTCTGACCATATAACTTCATTAGGAATTCAGTCTATGCATAGCTTGTTCTATCGAACGTTGAGCGAATTTCAATTTGTGGATGAGGTTTTGTTAATGTCCACGTCTCGGCTCCGTAAGACTTAACTGGTAGAACGCAATATTTGAATGCCTTTGTTTTTAGATTTTGTGGGATTGACGACCTCTATTTTGATTAAATATGTTTCATTATTACTGACCGTATACCGTATGCTTTGCTTTACAGTAAATTTCAGCAGCCAGATCCCATTTGACAGTCAAAGGTCTTCGGAAGATTCGCTCCACGACAGCAATCAAATAAACTGAGTATTTATTCTACAAGCAAGTAAACCGTGATTAGAAGTATTCATGCAATTAAGCATCTCCGTTCGTCTGTCATAGCTGAACAGTGAACACCACACGAGCATTCGTCCGTCCGTCATTCCGCACATACTGACATGAAACCACCCGACTGCTTAATTTAATGCTAACGGAATTGAAACACGTATTTTTATGTAGTTAACACGTTAAATTTAAAACTTCATAACCTCAACTCTGGCTGAATTATAATCTAAAGACTCACTCAAGCCTCACTCACCTTGTGAAATTTGACTCCTCACCTATTTTTTAGGAAGTTGTGTATAACTACCCAAATAGTCCGAAAATGAATTAATTAAAAAGCTCCTTGTTGTTCGTCGAAGGAAGTACTACCATCACAGCCGTTAATGCCGCCAAGCAGTAATATGAGCATTATTGCGTTCCGGTTGTCTTGGGTACGTATGCTGCTGAAACTACAGACACATGGGACTTGTCAACTTTATGTCTCAGAGTGATGGGCGCAATGCTCCTCAGATCTTTGTGATTTAACTCTGGAACTGTTGGATGGACGGATGGATTGTTGTTGTTGCTTAACAAAAGATGCCATAACCACTATTTCATTGAATTATACACTACAAAAATTGAGACTACAGCCCTCAAAGGTGTTTGTGTAAACTAACTCCTCATTCGAGTTTTAGGACGGTATATGTGAATACCCTCCCTATACCCAATAATCCAATTGTAAATACCAGGAGATCATGAGTAAACAGCTAGATGAAAAATACAGCAATAACGTTTGCATTTCTTTAATACCTTTGTTCGACAAATCTGAAAGTTGTTATGAGACAAAATATACCTAAATCGAATTTTTGAAAATAATATAATCTTAATTTAAAAACGGCTCATAAAGGCGCTCAATTGCAATTAAAAATGTTTATTTATACAATATACATTTAACATATGACACAACGTACAATGTTAGCACCATTAACCATAAGTTATTGCGAACTGTTATTTGTACGGTGCTGTCCACGGTCGAGTCACTGCGGTGATGCTGCAGTATGGGTGATGCATAATACATAGAGTAAAATACGATTTTCCCGCGGTGCGCCCACGCAACTGCATTGCTGCTGTGCACTCGGCTGGCACCATCGTGTGATAATGTCTCCTTTCAGGGACTTTCTTTTATTTATGTGATGCGGAGACATTTTCGAGGTAGTAACAGATTTATTTCACGCAGGTTAGTGCCACGGCGTTGAAGAGATCGAAATGACGTAACTGCATCGACAATAGCATTGTTCGAGATTAAAATTAGGGATATTGTTGTAACAGCTATTATAGAGTAGGTTTTCCTCTTGTGGGCTTTTCTAGTTATGATTGACAACCTAAACGTGATCTTAGTGATGAATTTTGTTTAGGACTTTGATTTCACGATGAGGCCTTTTATCGCCTATCTGCTGTGGGATAAACAAGAATTCTTAATGCGCATTATAATTGTAGAGTAGAAAGAGTTATGTTATGTTATAAACCTACATATGAAATGAAATGAAATGAGGTTTATTTGCATTGAATAGGATTTTTGGGAATTTCTTACATAATACCTACCTATTTACATACGCAATTTCTTAAACGCCGTTACTTATTTCAGTTTCTAAATTTTTTTTAATTCATAATATTGGTTGTATCTAATATTATGATGTTTTAATTGCGATATTCATTTTTTATGAAAATAGTTCGTTATAAATTATTAATAGAAAGATTTCTTTGAATAAAGATTATATAAAGAAAAATTCCTTCGATCTCACAGGACACGAAGTCAGTGCCATACCAGGCGAACACTCTACCAACTGAGCAACAGAACGAGTCAGCTAACCACACGAATTTTTCTATGCAAACGCATAGTGTTCGTTACAAATGTTTGTTCTTGGTTTTTAACGGATTTTTTTATTATAATTTAGTTACGGGAAAGGGTCAATAAATTGCTGTAAATAACTACGACGTAGCAACATAATAACTTTTGTAGAAACTAAATTAAACTAAATTTGGTAATGCAAATCGATGATGAACCATCCAATAGGTTGCTTGGAAGGGATTGCTATACATATAGCAATAAGGCAGCCTGTTGTACCCGTCTTTTTTTGTATTATTAGGTATTTGCCCCAGTGTGCAATAAAGAATATATGTGTTGTATTGTAAGTATTCTAAGACAATTATTACTGTAAAGACAGTATGCTTTAAGCAATCACAAAGGTCTGGGAATAATTTTACTATTTAAGATAATTATACTGCTTTATTTTAGATGTGTGTCAATTTAATATTAACTGTACAGGCTGTTCCATGCGAATATGTTTCTGGTACGTTGAAGTAATACAATAAACATGAAATTAAAGTAGCATTATGAACAAGATAAGGTAATAAAATAGCAAAATTATCGATTAGTGAGTTTGTTGAGTATATTAGTTACACGTTTATTCCATAAATCAAGTGTAGAAACACGCACAATATTTAGTAAATAATAGTATTGAATCAAACATTGTGATGAGTAATAATAATTGATGAGTGGTAATTAATAAAATAACTACGAAAACAAGTTTAGTACATGCAGTGAGTATTAAAACCTGCTATTTTACATACATAAAGTTCAACTTTATTTGTACCATGGACGAGACATCTCAGATTACCTGTTCAGGGCAATTATCGTCGCAAAACTGGAAGTTCGCAGGTTGAATTCCAATAACATGCCGTATACGCCGGTGTGACGTCACCCAGAGGTCGCACATTATCGTCGCCGGCTAGCGTCCGCGCACATATCACTAGTTCGTTGGAGTCGTACTAGGACCCACGTGTAAAACAAACATGAAGTTCGCAATAGTTTTACTGATAAGTGTGGCTGTATGCCGTGGTGACGACCTCACCTCTGCGGCCGGGCAGATCTTTCAAAACATCCTACCTAATTTGATTGGCAACCAAGTAAAAAACCAGAATCAAGGGAACTCAGCTACGAGCACATTTGAACAAATAGGCACTGTAGTCGGAGGAGTGGTTGATTATGCAAAGAAAAAGAGCTACGAGGACCTCCTACGTCAAGTCCAAGACCAAACATCCGACGATGATCTGCTACGACTCAGCGAGGAGATGTTTAATGCGGATATCAACAACGCTTTCAACTACATTCAGGTCAATTTGCAAGGGAAAACCAGTCCTATGTCCAAGAACGACGAGGCGCAATCTAAGTAAGTCACTAATGATAGTAGAGATTTTCATTAACCTCTAATAACAGTCTTTATCTAGTGCGATATCAGAGCTTTGCTCAACAAGCTACCCATTCATGCCCATCAATGCTAAAGAGGCATTGAGGAAAATTTTTGTAATTAAACTTTCGAAGCTGTAATACGCGTTAATTAACAACAACATTGTTAGATTTCACATTATATGAAGATAACGATGACTTTACCTACACAAACAATAACATATTTAATTACCAAAATAAAATGTTTACAAAAATATCCAACACCCATCCAACATGCTATGGGCATGCCACATATATTTTTGATAAAGTAAAAAATACGAACGGACTTTTATACACTAAAAAAATGTTTTAATGCCAGTAGAAGCTTTTAAACGTTTATTTTATTTTGAAATGACTTTTACATACACATTTTTTGGACATATTTCCTGCATTTTTTTAAATTCAAAATACAGTTGATTAAATTTTTCTTTGTATATTATTGAAAGAATTTTTTACGATTTCAGACTGTTGGACGTACCACAAAACGTATGGAACGGTCCTACTATCAAACCCTTCGTAGCACTCTTCGATAACTACCACAAAAACGTGATAAGACCCGAATTCGCCACGCCAAATGTAAGAGTGCTAAGACACAAATATTACTTATTTATACATTACACCACTGTATTATATAGGTGCTGTGACTCTGTTAGTTATACAGATAATTATGTACTATCATATTTATAGCCTAATAATTCAGAACTCAGATACTTTTACACTTTTTGAATTACAAATTCTTTTAACGCTTTCATATGCATACTGATCGTGCCTCACCCATAAGCTTGTAAGGATCGACGCTGGAAAAAGGACAGAGGTATTTCTTGCAGTAAGCGCGTAAACTCATAGGCGAATATGATAAATTTCGTTATTGAGAATTTCAAGTTTATACTTCATTATCATCATTGTTAGCTCTAAGTTAACAAAGCGTTGCAACTTTGTAATTTAGCACCGTTTCACAGGAAGAATCGGAACAAACGACATTCATAAACACGATTTTGGCCACTGGACCTATCCGCAGTTTTATGGCTCACCTGGTCAATAAAGGTTTGTATCTTTTATTCTCATACGTATGACATCAGTTATTTATCACTGTTGTTCTGCGTATTTATCATATTGTATCTAATTTTGGGAATAATGACGTATACTTGTACTTAAAGTGATAAACAACTTGAAATCATCCCGAAACAATAATCAATGCACTGCAATAATTTACCCAGTGTTATGGTGTGTATTTTATAAATAAAAAGTAGGTACCTACGTACTTACTACGTTTTAGGGCAGTAGAGCTCCTAATGAAAGAGTTCATCCAGCGAAGTACTGCCACCTTACCTATTTCTGCCGCCAAGCAGTAATGAGAGCATTATTGCGTACCGGTTTTGAAGGGTGCTGGTGAAATTACAGGCATACGAGACTTGTCAACTTACGTATTGGGGTGACGAGCGCAGAGGCAGTGCCCCTCAGATCTTTACGATTTAAATCTCTGAGTGGCACTGTGACTGCTACGGACTGGCGTGTCGCTTACTACTAGGTGCAAGACTTGCTCGTCCCGTCTTATTTACTATCATAAAAAAGTACTATAAAAAATAATTTCTAAGGTATAAGTGAATCTTTTTCAACTGAATACATACCTGAATATTCATAGGTCTAAACCAATTCAACGAATACAGCGAGCAAGTAGATCTGTTCAAAAAGATCTGGTTCACCAAGTACGCGCGCCACTGGACTGGGCTATGCAAGTGCAGCTGTGCCTTTGAGAACGTCTTTATGGCTGAACTTAAGGGCGACCAAGTATTAGGTAAGATACATGTCTTGAAATGTATTCCATAGTCACATAAGATAAGGCAAATTGAAAGCGTCGGCATAGTGGCGGAGTAACACAGTGTCATACATTTGCAGTTCAACCAACTTCAAAATTATCTGCTCGTACATAACGCCGGAAAGCAATCTTGTCGTATCTCGAAAAATGGAGTAATACATATATTTATTTATAATACAAACATATATTTGGAATCAGAAAAAAATCAGAAAAAATATTGTTCGTGTGTGTACTTTGAATTCAATTGTTTTTAGTTTCGATCTTAATTTTTAGAGTATCTTCATTGACTTAATCTTACTTGCATTTAATATTACTTGACTTTGGTCAACTTGATCTTAATCTTGAACTTGATCTTTGTACAGTCTCCCAGTGGACGCATAGTCAAAATTAACTATTTTGAAAGTATCGCTAATCGCGGTAGAAATAAAGACTTGTTTTCAATGGCTGTGAAAATAGGTAACTATAAATTGTTTTATTTAATACTTTTGGTTTTGAAAATGTTTTAGGCACTTGATTAGTTTAATCTAGTGTCTGTTTGTTTGTGACACGTGCAAATTGTAATCTTTGTCACGTTCATGATCATTTAAGAAATGACTTCATCTTTAGTACGTATCCTTGTTGGCAACCTCCTTCTACGCAGTCTATTATTATTTCCTTAGATGTATTTTATCTAAATAGGTACCTAGAAATTGTATTGTTTTAATTTCGTTTTATTTGGATTACAGCATTTCAGTCCAATTGTTGGCTAGGATAATTACAGTTATCCACTAAATAAATTACTGAATGAGTCAGCCGTTTTAAAAAATATAATAAAAATGTTCTTAAAAACAAAATAGTGATAAATAAAATTAAAACAAATGCAAACGAACAATAATACATATAAATAATTACAAGCGAGACTATGTACGTAGGATTAATTAACTCTTTTCTTTGGTTTTCAAAAGTGCATAAATAGGAATTACACTACGGTAGTAACAATCTACAATTGAAATAAATATATTTATTTAAGTGGGTACCTAACTACTTGGAATTACAAATTAATTGTCATAGATTATTTACATTCTGTCGGAATTGTTATTTTAACCATTATTTCTATTCGACTAATTCATCACACCCACAATCACACTCTGTAAATACTAATTTTGTTTATGTTTTCTTAAAAACTTGTTAACGTTGGAAGATTTATAATAGTACTACTCCATAAATAACAACTAGACAAATACGCTAATATCACAGATATGCCTTGTCCCCGGGGAGACAGGGGTCATAATTTACGGCAATCACCTGATATTAAACTAGAGCGTTACCGGTGTCTATGAATATCAGAGAACCAAAATTTCTCTGCCGGCAGTACCCCGAACAATCAAACGAGAAAAAAAAATCTGTACCTATACAAGCTCAAAAGGAAATCCAACCAAGTTTTTATTTCGGAATGCTCAACCGCTCAAGGAGTGCGTGACAAATTGTGTCAAGTGTTCCATCAAAATAAGGAAAGGTTCTAAATGTATGAAGAGGCTGTATGGTGGAACCTTTGCCCACCCAAATATGGGTGTAAATTTAATAAAATAATATATCAAAGTATGTGCAGTACATTTTTTTCTAAACGTTCTATATTATGTACGTTTCCAGGCCTCCACAGCTGGTTGTTCTTTGCACAGCGTGAGCAGGACGGCAAGGCCAACTACCTCGGCTACATCGACAAACTCGACCTCTCCGGAGTAAGTAGTACTTGCGTACTATGTTCACCTATGTTATTGTAAATATGACCTCACCTTTTGCCGAACTTAAATGATCTCATTACTATTGTTGATTCTTATGAATACGACTACTTTGTTACCAAATTCGTTCATTTCGCTGTTGCCTGTATGAAAATGTTCAAATGTCCGATTTCATTTGAACATTGAACGTCAGATCATTGTGATGCTGACTGTACCTACCCTGGCCAAATATTTTAAGGTTGATAACTGCAAAAACTCGTTTCAAAAGTAGTATTTCTTGTGTAGTAAAATGGGACTTTTTATTTATTTACTATATTTTTGATACACAAAGCCTTAAACGTTCTAATGCTGGACACCGGTCTCTTCTAAAGAATTAAAATACTTATCTCGGGCCTCGACATAACTATAATTCGTTATTTCAGAAAGCGCCACTCTTGTAAAGAGATCCATAACACATAAAATGTAAGTTGTGGATATTCCAAGTATTGACACGAAGCGTTTCGCTTCCACATTCATATGGCGAACGGCTAAGTGGAATTCCCTGCTCACAGCCTTAATCTTTAACTATAACTTGGGACTTTTCAAGGCGAGAGTGCATTTTTTTCTAATTTGCATAGGGCATTATTTAGGTTTGTATGCTGCATCGTCGTCCTCATCGTCGCATTCCATCAACTGAGATGGAGATTAAATGCGCACTTTTTTTTATACAAAAAAAATGGACTGCATTGATAACTCATAGGTACTGCAACAAAACGCTTCTCATTCCCAAAAAAAAGAAATTGTTTTATTAATAAACGAATTTTCCATTACAGAAAGGCTTGATCCTCAAGCAACATTCCATTCTCAGCGAAACCAAAGACGCTCCTGAAATTAAGATGTTCGTAGGCACATCGCCCGAACTTGAAACAGCGCTATACACACTCTGCTTCATGGCCCGCCCGGACAGGCCATGCAGACTACGTGTCAACAATATACCATTTACCATTCAAACTAAGTCGATTAAGGCTGAAAATACGATTGTTATTGACACTGCTTATCCTGAATTTTAAGTCCAATTGCATTACGTCATTCGTGCCCAATTGAGCACATAAACAAGATGGAATCTTCGAAAATGTTTTTGTTTAAGTATTTAAGAAACGTTAAGTTATTATTTTTTTGAGATTATAAATAAAATACTACAAGAATTTGTTTAGAACTACATATTATCATTACTAGTTTCATGCATATATATTTATTGTTATCTGAACATGAAAGAGCTCTCTAAACACATAAGAAATGCAAGTTACCACTTATTAAAATGGATTCAGTTTAAATATACTCGTGTTTGTAATAATCAGTGTTTTGACTTGACCTTTGATACTCACGATTATTTCTTATCTCAATAGGTCAATTTTAAGATAAATGCTTCTTTGTGTACTATAAACGTATGTGATATAATGCTTATATTCGTAAGCATTATATCTGATACATTTCATGTTCCTGTAGGTACAAGCTCAATAGGTAAATTTTAAGATAAATGTTACCTTGCGTACTATATTATATGAAATGTATGTAGTGTAATATATAATGCTTACGAATGAAAGAAGTAAAAAGAGTATGCCAGATTACAAGGTCTACAATGTTTTACCACTAAACTGGCATCGTTCGTCATATATTATAGCTTCTACGCATTTCTTCTAAGTACAATTTACGATTTTTGGTATTCAAATACAAAGAAAGTAAATCAATTCCTATTTATTGTTTTATTTTCAAGGAAACGTGTATAACGGGGAGTGCTCAAAGAAACTTTTCGGACTGATGCCACCGTTATGTTGCCTCCATCGTAGCCCCGCCAGATGAATAGGCTCAGACCCACATCATCTTTGATGCTTGGCACATTATGACCCCGCGGGCATCACGTTTGTCCATTCCTCAAATCTGTAAGATGTGGAATAGGCTCTTTTCTAAAGTATTGCTGTCAATATCCATGAGCGACGCTATCACCACCCATCAAGTGTCTCGTATGCTTGTATGCCTCCTACCATTTTCATATTTTTTTAAAATATTTATAGTAATTAGGAGTTTTAATTTCATATATATATGTCTGATATGGAAATAACGAAGTTAACTGAAAGTTTCATTAAATTTCATGCTTAAATTTAGGCAAAGTTATTTTATAAATTCGTAAAACTTGCTGAGCTCGCCTTTTTTGCTTAGTCGAAGTCAGTCCGTTTTATAAAGCCCAGTCTAAGTAAAACAACAGCAGTGAAAGTAGTTGTGGATATGTACCTATTTATGTCTCTATTTACTTAGTCTCTTTTGTTACAGTTTGACGTTTATTTATTTATTTTATTATTCAGTAAAAAAGTGTAATATAACAATATGCACCATGACGTTAGAGCAATTAAAAAACAACAAGAATTAAAAATAAAAAAGTACAAAAAAAAATAACGTCACTACTCTAAATTGAAATTAATGACTAACTAAAATTCATCCTGTTTTCTCTCTAACACTCTCTTCCTTTCTCTCTTCTTCTGTCACAAAAAAATCACATTCTGGTAATGTTACGAGTGCGGACTTGAGGAATGTAGTCGCGCTGGGAAGGGGCCGAGTGTCGGTACTGTTTTGTGCTTGAATGTATAGTTGCTAACAGGAGCACACCACGTCGCCTGTTACAGTACGTACGTAAGTACGAGTAGTACTTATAGTTAATTTCAGATGCAGATGCCATAGCCTACGTCGCTGTCAAAGGTTGTCTCGGAAATGAAACTTTACCCCGAATTGGACCCCACGATATGATGACCCACCGAAGACGAGGCTTGATGCTTATAAAACAGATAAAATGGAATGAAATCTTGGTGCAGGCCTATTTAATTAAAACTAACAAAATTCACCAAGACTTGGCTGTATAGATGAAAAAGTTTGCTTTTTCCTTAACGGAAAGAATTCATAAAACGACAAAAGATTGACACCTCATGGACGTTCGTCCGTCTGCCGTCATTCTATAGTAAAGACGTGTAACCACCCGACAGCTTAATTGAATTTATACGTTAAAATTAAGACATCAAAACCTCAACGCTTGGGCAGGATGATTAGAGACATTGAAAGCAAAACACTCAATCGTGCTTGTGAAAGTTGAGTTCCCAACCGCGTCTTTAGGAAGTTGTTAATAAATATTATAGTCAAATGGTAAATACCAGTAGTTCCAGCATTAAAGTGTCGGATGTTTAACACATCAGTCGATGTTTCTTTCGCTTTAATATCTTTGTTTGACAAATCTGTCAAGCAAGTTATTATAACTACGAGATTAAAAATACAAGATAAAAGGTACACAAACACATACAGGCAAATTTTACGGAACACAAAAGTGATAAAATATTAAAGTTTATATTTAAACAAAAAAGATTAGCATTATTAAAATTAAAATATTTTTCCATCCATTTAGTACAGCCTTAATACAATACCTTTATTGAAAAAATCAGAATTAAACCAAATAATATTTTTTCGATTTTGTGACAAAGCCGAAATAGCAAAATTGTAACAGTTTACCTTTTTTTGTGATACCAAGCGGCACAACCAAGTCGTGCACCTGTGATAAGCGACACGCCTCTCCATAACAGTTGCAGTGCCACTCAAATTCAGACCTTTGCGATTTAAAGCTTGGAGTGCGTAGTCCACTACGGGCGTAAATAATCAAATTAATATTTAGCATATTTAGCGTCCCGCTAATATGCCGCTGTGTGTATCTGTGAAAGTTATTTGGACTTAAGAAAACATCGCTTGTAAAAGTATTAAATAGAAATTGACAATGTATAAAAAACATGACACAACATGCAATGTAAGTACCTACCGTTAAAAATAAGTTATTGCAAACCATTATTTCTACAGTGTTATGCACTATGGAGATACTGCATTAATGCTGCAGTATAGCTGATGCATAATACACGGAGTATAATATGATTTTCCCGCGGTGCGCTCACGCATTAACGCTGCGCTGGCATGTGAAAATGTCATATTCAGGGGTCTTTCTGTTATTTCAGACTATGATATTTTCGATGTAATTCTACAAGTGAGTAATAGCCTTGTCCTAAGAGAAGATAGATTTTTTTTTAAAGAGAGATTTTTACACCGATAATAGTATTCTTCTAGAACATGACGCATATGGATATTGTTATAACAGGTGATGTAGAGTAGGTAAGTCTATTCTACAATAATAAACGTTGTTAAGGACGTCTATAGTCTTAAACGAATATGTATTTTAGTAGTTTATTGTACTGGTGTGCGGTGTTTATAAAAACATTTATTTTGTTTGGTGTTATTGAAGAATAAAATACTTCAGCCGTCCACCGGCTTTTAATGCGGACTGTTAAATCTTCTATCCATATTCATCACCATCATCATTATCAACCCATTTATACGCCTCTTCTCGACTCCTCTCAGGCGAGTGTTTTGGCCATAGCCCGCCACGTTGCCCCAATGCGGACAAGGGACTTCACACGTTTTCCGAGGGTTGTGAATCTTCTTCGACGTACACGTTTCATCATGATGTATTCCTTCACCAAAAACACGTGGTCAGTTTCAAATTAAATTTCGGACATAAATTCCAAGAAACTCAGAGGTGCGAATCGAACTCACGGCCTCTGCTTTAGAGGCGATAGGTCTAACTTTGGCTACCACGGCTTCTATCTATATCACAGACCAAATAAATATCTATATCTTATTCTTCTTCTTATTATTCATATTAGGCACTCTCATTGATGTGACATAATTTGAGCAATAATATTTAGGGAGTTGTCATACTTATTAACTAACTAAATAACTTATTGACTTGACCCGGTCAGAATAAACTTTATGTCCGTGCAATAAGAGTGAAAACGTTGCGTTTCGCGTCAATGGCCTCAGTGCCGGCTTTATCTATAGTGCAGAATACCTGGGGCACACGGGTGCAGGGTTTTCGGTGGCGCCGGACGCAAGCGAAGTAAACGTGCAATTGCTTCCCAACATCATTTATATTGCGCCATTCGGGTGCAAAATTTGTGATTACTGCAGAAAATATAAGTGTAAGTATTCCATTTTCATCGCGTGCCTGTTGGAGGGCGCCAGGGTATTGAGCACTGGGCGCTCCGTGGGCTGCGGCGGCGTTGGACGTTCTGAGCCGAAACGAGCAACGTCTTTTTCTCTCCCATTATATAGACGTAACGTTTTTTTTCTGACCGGCGGTTAAGCGATTCTGTGTCGATAAACGCGGCTTGAAACAATGATCTGATACTGATACTATCCGGTTTTTTACCGAGTTGCTCTTAGTCTATTTGATGGTTGGTAAGACCATACAAGAACCGCAAGCGATGGTATTCTCACTACGCGTTATGTACAGTACAGGAGATTAAGTATGTAGGTACTCCTTTTAATATCAATGTTTTTGACGATTGTTTTCAAAATTATAGTTCTATTTTTATATTTTACTATACTCAAAATAAAAAAAAATTATGTGAAGCGTGTGAGGTAATGCTCTGGCCACAAAGAGGCGGTAGTGGGAGCGTTCCGGGGCCGGGATTTATTGTAATGTTCGAGTTTTTATGCACCTTGCCACTTAGAAAGCGGATAGCGAGGTGGCGGCGGTTCAGGCCGGGGCCGAACGCTATGACAAACAGCGGCGTGGGCCGGGTCCGGTGCGGGCGCAAAGTTGTATTCCATTGGGTCCTATGCAACCGTCCACATAGACCGGCAACGCCACCGGGGCGTGGTCCGGGAGCCGGGCTTTAGCGGGATTGCACGTTGTATTTTTTTACAACTCTTGAGTGTATTTTTATTAAGTTTCAGTACGAAATGAGTTTCAGAAATTTCTTTTGTGTTGCTTCCGTAACGTAAATAAAAGCAGATTCTTTTCTTGAACACTATCCGACAGCCGTATGGTGTTTTCTTTAAATCTAAGTAGAAAATAGTTAAAATAATCCTGAACAATGTTGTAATTTATGATTAAGTGGTAGGTAAGAATATACAATTATCGCTTAATTAGGTATGGAAACGCGCACAGTACCTAGTCTAAAAATAATAACACACAGTTTATCGTTTGGTTAATTCTTTTATGTAGATAACGATTTTGTCCTTTTGTTTCGAAGTAAAGAACAAACAACGGTTTAGCAAAAAGAATTCAGTGAATACAGTGAGCAATAAAAGCAAGCTTGGATATCTTTGCATAGTTCTTTTGCTTAATGTAAATCAAATTTGTTAATGCCAGGATAGACACGTCTCGGTTTATCCATATTTAATCATCCTTACAAAAAGTTAAAGCTTGCGGGTTGAATTTCAGTAACATGTCGTAACTCGGCGTATGACGTCAACGAGAATTCGCGCATTATCGACGCATTTTGCGCGTGCACACTGATCACTAGTACGCCGGAACCGTGCTAGAATTCACGTATAAAACCAAATATGAATTTCGCAACAGTTTTGCTGTTAAGTGTGACTTTATGCCACGGTCAGGACTTCGCTGCCACCGCCGGGCAGTTCTTACAAAGCATGCTACCTACTTTGATTACCAATCAAATAAATCATCAGACCCAAGGTCAACCAGGTACGAATATCTTTGTGCAAACAGACACTAATGCCGAAAGAGAGGAGATAAAAAACTATGAAGAACTCTTGCGTCAAATTCAAGACCAGACATCCGACGATGATATTCTACGACTCAGCGACGAGATATTTAATGCGGATACCAACAGCGTTTACGATACTATCCAAATCAATTTACAAGGGAAAACTACTCCAGCGTCCAAAAACGACGAGGCACCATTTAAGTAAGTCACTAATGTGTGTCACAATTGCAGAGACTTATATTTGCCTCTAATAACCATCTTCATCTAGTACAATATTAGAGCTTTGCTTGGCCGGCCACATATTCATCAACGCTAAAAGAGTGATCAGAAAAAATAATAAGGGATAAAGTATGCAATTACCGTTCTATATACGAAATATTTTGAGAGAATTACAACAAAAAAATATTTACAAACTTTTATTTAATCAAAATACGCTCAAGCTTCTGATATCTCGCTTGAAGCTGCCAACCAAAAACGTACGGTGGGTTCTTTAGTTATATCCGCTCCATGCACGTCATTTACGTTGAGATTCGTTTGCGCTACCCACATTAGTGCCACGTAGGGATATTCAAAAATATACTAGGAATGAAATTAATTTGAGCCGCAGTATGTTTAATTTCTAAGAGAATGAAAATAAATAAAATGGAAACAAATGAATTAGGAAATAGTTATTTGTTATGCAAGGCTGCAAAGTTGTTGTTTGCCGCGAGTGCTTGTATTGAAACCTGAGCAAGCGAACGAAGCTAAGATTGAACTACGAGCGAAGCTAGTGGTTCCAATATAGATTCCTGAGCGTAGCGAGGGTTTCAAGATACGAGACGCAAAACAACTTTGCTGTCGAGCGAAACACATAACTTTTCCTCACTATAGCTAGGGAAATGGTAGATGGAAGAAAAACAGTTGAACTACAAAACCTTTTTAATGAAAAGAAAAAGTTTATCTTCGGATGCGTTCTGAATTTCCGCCTCATCAATTTTTAATCTTGCTTGTACTTTTATTTTGTGTGATTAAGTGATTATTGAAATTATTTTAGTTCTTCGATGAATTAAAACAATTTAATAAACATAATTTGTTATCATAGTCAATTTAATGTCAACAATAATAAGAATAAAACATAGCAAGGGATATGTGTTACATAAATAAGTAATGTACGAAAAATCGCCATTATCTTTTTTTTTCATCGAAAGAAAAAGTTAGGTGCACCACAGTCCATCGTCAAGTTCGAATTTCATAAACGTTTTCTACGCTAGCGTGCAAAAAACGCTTTTGTGCGCAGATTTCTAATGAGAAAGAAAGTCTTTCGGAGCTAGTGAAAAAAAAGAGGTGAAAAATAATTTCGGATCCTTTACATTTTATTTGAAAACAAAACGGACTATTTCATTTGAAAGTAGTCAGAATATTAACTTGGTAGCTTTACATTCTAGCTCCTAATATATACATATTTGTACTTTCAAAGCTTAATTAAACTTGTATACAAATTTGATATTTAAAAGAAAATGCTGACTATCTACTTGCGTAAAACCATATTAATTCACCTATTGCCGAACATATATTCAATTTATTTTATGTTGGTTGTAGACATCATGTTAATAAAATGTAATGCTTAGCCAAGTTCTTTTAGCAAAAATTTTAAAATTCTAACTAAGTAGTTGTTATGCCCCGAAAAAAGTGTTTTAAAAGGTAGATCAATATTTTAGAAGAGGGTGTCCGCCGTGTACCTAAACGTTGGTTTGTTTGAAAAAAAAAATATTCTCGATTTAGATCCAAAAAAATAGTTTCAATTTCAGTTTTAAAAGAATTGAGATCTTTATTTTCGCGAATGACTTTTTCGCATATAGGTACATATTTTTTTTAAATATTGCAACTTGCATTTCCAAGATTCAACACTTTGTGTTTTGGAAAGAAGAATATAAGCTGTGTTGGATTAGTAAAGGTGTTTTTTATAAAGTGGTTACATTATTGTCTAAATTTATTTTACTCAATATACAATTACACGAATTTTTGTATCACGAATTTATCCCTAAGAAATTCGGTCCAAAATCAAGTGCCGCGCCACTCCTTCTCCTTCTGTTTACCGCACTCCTGCCCGGAGCTTGTATAGTTGTAGAGTGGGGCTCACCCACTTTTCATTCATGACTGTGATACGTAGACGTCTTCAGGATCACGACCAGGTAGTTGTCCTGTGGTCAAGCAGCTCTTCGGTTGAAAGTATAAGAAACCCCAACATTACATAAAAACTATCTAACATTCATTTACACAACCACTTTTTGGGCTATTAAAACCATTCGCTCAATACGTTGTATTAAATAACTTGTGAGTGAGAGTGCTCATGATATCCAATTCAAAACAACACTCTCATAGTAATCCTGCATAAAATTGTACATTAATATTTTATAAACTTAAGTAAAAATACAAACGTACCTACACCAATCGGAATAGGTACTTTCATCAGGGTACCACGTAAATCCTATAAAGTAGGTATACCTACCTACCAGGTTCTACACACTACACAACAGTGAAACTGTTGCCAGGGTGCAGTGTAGTCTGCCGTGGCAACCACATGCTACTACCATAACATATGTAGCAATTGGAGCAATACGTAAAGCCTCGGTCTTAATCATTAATTCACTTCATGTCATATATAGTTAATATATCCCTGCTGTAACAGGAGTGCAAATTTCACGTCACTTCATGACCAGTTTTATGTCGTGACAAAGTTGTGCCGGCTAGAAACTCCACTACGACTCACATGCGTACTCCGCCACGACTAATAGTCGCTACTGCAGCAAAGTTTGCCACGATCCCATTAGATAACAAAACAAGTGCATATAGTTCATATACAATATAGAAGTATAGCCAATCACAATTACCTTCAAAAAAACCGCACTACTTTTCAACGTACTATATACCTACCTACACTAAAGGCACTATATACTCGTAGGCAGCTTGTTTACGTTTGCATTAAAGCCTGTTCGTGCACATATCGGTAGTTCCCCACGACCTCATAACCCTCGTTCACCGTTTCATCTTGTCGTATTTGATTGCCAATCAAGAGTTAACTCGCGCGTTGCCACTGAAGGCAAACTAACGCCTTGAGATTTGTGTTGTGGTTACTAAGCAACATTCTGAATTATGAAGTATGTATGTACCTTAACAGATATAGGTATACATACTTGAAACAAGCAAATTTGTTAGAAACCCCCTACTTTATTTTCTCCAAAAATGGCATTTATAGGTAACAATACAAACCTACATTAATTAAAAATATGATTTTCTAAATCAAAATTAGTTTGTTCCAGTAACTAAATCTACAATCACGTACCTACCAATTAACATAAAAGAAATTAACGAATTTATAAGAATTCCTCGTAAATAAAAGTTATTACTTATTATAATATTAAAATATTCATTAATTAATTGAAAATACTTCGATTTCCTTCTCAATTCATCTCACAAAATTTGTAATGATTTATTTAATATGATTACATTTATTTTATTATTTTAAAATGAGTAAATGCAAGAGTCGCTTTAGCGGCCCGCCTCGCCGCAACGGGCACCAACTAGTTAACATATAAGTACCTAGTTATGACAATGCAATAAATAAATAAAGCTTCAGACTAGTTGCATCAATGGCTGCAAATAATTATAACAGCGACAGCTTCATTGTAGCGCTCGTAGTCAAATTCAAAATAAGTGCAACTTATTATGCAAGTTATTATACTATTTGGAACCCTTGTTATTTACTCTGGCCTCTGAACATATCAGAAGTGAACGTCGACAGCATAAGCTGCCTCCATTGCCTAAACTTACAATTTTCAAAAATAGCCCTTATTATAGAGCAATAGCAATATATAACATGGCACATAGTAATTAATATATTACTTCAGAAAGACGAAAAAGTGTTTTATAACAAGTTGAAATATCTCCTCATACAAAAGTGTTATTATGCAATACTAGATTTTGTTAAAGACAAAGAACTCTGATCTCCTCCTCTGAGTTGTACAAATATAATAATTAGTATATAGATTAATTATTTTATTCAGACTACATTACTTCATAAACATATTTTATTATTTAAAAGATTTTAATATTTTGTTATATAATTTATTTGTGATTATTAATTTTTAAGTTGTATAAGTATGTATATTTTTAAGTCTTAGGTACGCACCAACAGGGCACTTGTGATGAAATTTATTGCATGTTTGCTAATAAATAAATACTGAAATAATGACTCGCAATAAATTTAATACAATACGATAACAACTTTCTACTTGACTAGTTTCATGGTGATTTCAGGTGTATTCAAATAACTTCTACAATCTAGCTCGAGCTCGACAAGCAATTTCAATAATTTTGCTTTCGAACATTCTGTAAGCGAAGGTATGGCATATAGTGAAACTGTATGTATCTACTCTGAACTCCCTCAATACTAACGCTAACGAAAAGAAAAACGAAACGCTAACGGAAGGCTAACGGGCCTAGCATGAACGGTTGAAAACGGAATATTCAGTTTAGAACACTATTCATATGTCGATTAGGAACTGAATTATTTAACGTGTAAATCATAATTGGACTTAGATAAATAAAAAGGTGTGCCTTATTCCAGCGTGACCATGGTCGAGTTGTGGAAATTTGACTAGCCAGAAAAAAAGTCGTGAATTAGTCGGTTCTAGTCGCGAAATTTTAGAATTAGCTGCCCATTTGTTTCGGAGATATGGGATATTCAATTATTTTTATTGATATGTAGGTACATTTACGTAGAAAAATCGTACATATAATCATAATTTGTGTATATCTATACTCCGTCCAATCATTTATTTAACTTTTGACAGCTCGAATTCTAATCAATCAGTGATGCCCTAATGCGTTTCCGATTACATTTTTTTTATAACAATCGATTTTATTTATAAAGAAGCTTAAATCGTGAATGTGAGCGGGTTCAAAAAAAGACATTGCCTGATTGGGATCGTGATGTTGCATTTGACAATTTGTGTAGGCAGTACCTACTACCCTGGACGAACTCTTTCACGAGGAGCTCTACTGCTACTATATACATAAATTAAGTAATTGGGTATTGTAACTGAGGTAATCTACATAAGGCTTGAAATGGGAAAACTTGCGCATACACATTATCTAGCCACTATGCGACATGACGAACGAAATCTTTTATAGATTCAGTTAATTTTTAAAGAATTGCAAGCTGGTATAGAAAGTAATGGGATAAAGGTGAAAATGTAAAATACGCGCGTTTATATATACGATTGAGTAAAGTGATTGACTAGATTGGGTCACTAACGACGGCTTTGAGGTAACTTGCAACTCTTAACAGTACCACCTTAAGCCCCTTGCATTTCTTTAATAGTTAATAATATTACCTAAATTAACTTTTAAGTAAATCTTTACGATTTCAGTCTATTGTACGTACCAGCACAAATATGGAACGCTCCTACTATCAAACCATTCGTGGATATTTTCCACAATTACCACAAAAACATAATTGTACCCGAATTCTTCACGGAAAATGTAAGTGGTATCAGACACAAAGACATTACACACGTCCACTCACACTGTATTATCAAAAAAGGATGAATCGACGGTAAACGTCCGAGGGCTCGCTATCCCACAAGATGGTCCGACCAAATCTGTACACCTCTCGGCGTGAGTCCTCGTGATACGCTCCACAATGCCAAAGACCGACACAGATGGCGTAGCGTCGTCACGCAGGAACTGTTTTCGCGGGGAGTCACGACCCTCCGTACCGAGGAATGCGACGCGAGGGGTAGCAAGTAAATTAAATATACATACCTATTACCTGAATCGTAATTCCACAGTCTTAATTGTACCCAATGCACAGATCACTTCTGCCTTCGAAGAGGCCTACTTCAGTAGTCGACGTACGTAGTTCCTAAGTGCAACTTTTCAGTTTTCATCTTGTAAATGCCGAGTTAATACGTTTTAGCATTATACCTACAATCAAAGTTAACGAATTGTTGCGACTTTGTAGTAATTTACTGTTACTGTTTACAGGAAGAATCAGAACAAATGACATACATAAACACAATTTTGACCACTGGGCCTATACGCAGTCTCATGGCTTATCTGGTCGATAAAGGTTTGAAACAGCGATCATTTATTCTCGTTTATAGCTAGAGTTTGTACAGAAACGTTATTCATGGCGTCAAACATTATTGAACTGATAACTAAGATTAGTTAGTAGTAAATGAGATCACTTACATTTTTCAAACACAAGTAATTTACATAATCAAAAACAACTTCAAAACAATGAGATAGTGGAATTTTGTTGTGGTATATTGATCTGTCTACGCAGTACATACAATGACGTTACACACAAAAATTATGTATGTTTTAAACATATTTTTTTTTTTGTAAAGTCTGTCTAATTTTGAACTGTATTTATTCATAAAATATTTACAGGTCTAAACCATCTGAGCGAATATAAGGAACAAGGAGGCCTGTTGAAGAAGATCTGGTTCACTAAGTACGCGCGCCACTGGACGGGGTTTTGCAAGTGCAGTAGTCCCTTTGAGAATATATTTTTGGCTGAATTTAATGGTGATGAAGTATTAGGTAAGATACACATCAAGACATTCATAACAAAATTATATTTTATTTTCGAACTAGTGTGCAAAAAGATGTTTCAATGTCAGTCTCCGTAATTGGTGTAGTTGTTTAAAAAAACGACATTCTGTAAATAAAATTGATTGATAATTTTGGACGTATATTTGCGCATTTGTTTCACCTTCCAAAGCAGGTAAAATCTGTATTCTGTATCGTCTAAAATTGAGAATATTGATTTTCAAAATTACTTTCTATTTATTATCGAAGTAAGCTGCATTTGCACTGCATTTTTTGATACGTACGACTTATATTACATGATTTAATACGTGCAAATTATGAACTTTATTATATGTATTTGAGAACGTTTAAAAAGTGAATCATCCATAGTATGAATTCTTGTTACCGCTCTCTTTATGCAGTCTACGAGTTATTCGTTAAAAATATTTCACTTAATTAAGTACCAAGCAATAATTTTGTTATGAATAAGTATACCTTGGTTATAATAAGGCCACATCTGCTAATGACAACTTTTCAAGAGAGAGGTTCTAAGATTCTACGAGAGTTATAAAATTTCACATACACATTTGTTTCATGTTATTTTTATGACTTTCATGTGATAAAAGTACTTTGGACGTATGATAATGATGATAATTATACCGAAGGTACGACATATAAAATTATGTACACAATGTACATACTAGGTACCTAACTCCATGGAATAACGTACCTATTAATGTTATGTACGTACATCAGGAATATTATATTGACCATTATTTCTATTCCACTAATTCGACACACCTCAAAATAGTAATTTCGTTTATGTTTTCCCAAAATTACATGTGATTGTTATTGAGTAAGAAAATATAATTTGTGTTTAAGATGTATAAGAGTACCTACCTACATCCATTACAATTCAATGGAGAAACAAACCAAGTACGCCAGTTTAGTAGCTTTGCCCGTTTCCTCTGGGAGAAAGGCATGATACATAAATAAATGCACCAAACAATCGTATTAAAACGAGAGCGTCACCTGTATGACAACCAGACATAATACCTATATGACCAGAGCATCAAAATATAATCTGCAGACAGTACTTTAGTTTAAAGGGAAAAAACGATCCCCGTGTGTCTGTCTCTGAAATCACAGAAGCAGACTGACCGGTGCGACGAGAACGGTTATAAATATAAAGGTGGAAAAGAGGAAGCCAACCACACGTAACCTGTGTGGCACAGTACGGACTGGACCTAATATTGCTGTGTCTGGTCATTACCGACGACGCGTACCTGTCACGACTGCATTACTCCACAAAGTCCGGAGCTATAGTGGAGTACATACCTACATCACACTTAAAGTCAAATACATGAGGGTCAAACGTTTGGAGTGTCGCTACAACATCAATTTTAATTTGTGGTGAGAGTGCCGATCGAACATCTGTCGACCTTCATGAAGGACTTTTGCGTCGAATAGGTACTGGCGAGCCCGGAGACGGTTACCTGACACCAGATTGCGCCACACGTCGCCGTCAAGTGCAATTTGTGTATATATATTAGCTATTTAGTTTTATATTATACGTATGTTAGTGATTAAGGCATACATCGACTGTGAACTGGCAACCGGTACTATCTAAATTTTGACAACTTTACAGGATGAAGAAAAAATTATTTATATAGCATCTCATTACATATAGCATCATCAAAAACTACGTGTTTTTATTTAATAAACCAAATGCTATGTAAATGACGCAAATAATGTTTTTCTTCATAAAATTACTTTAGTTAACTTAGTAAAGTTGTCAAAATTGAGATAGTACCGATTGCCAATTCACAGTCGATATGTTATTGGGTCATAGTTGTGTGGTTTAAATAAAATAAAAAGTACCTCGAATAACCACATCAAACAGTTATTATTAGTAATTTCAATTCCTAAATAACTTCCACGGAATATGAAATCCTAGTTTTCCTTATAACGAAATCGTTTTGTTTTTGGAACCGTTGAACCGCCAAGAGGGCATGATAGTGTAAAGATACATGGAATTTTTCTGTACGTGGGAATGTTTCCAGGTCTACGCAGCTGGCTGTTCTTCGCAATGCGTGAACAATACGGCAAAGCCAACTACCTGGGTTACATCGACATGCTCCACCTCCACGATGTTAGTAATACCTACATATTCATATGTATTTACATTATTATATCTGTGATCTCAGTTGAACTGCCATTTTCTTTTTACTTATTGTTATAAATAATACTGATTTGCTATGATATTAGGTAATAACTGGGTGGACAGTATATACCTACATAATTAAGAGATGGAAAGGATTTTCGGTAATTATTCCGTATCCTGCCTAAATATGTTATCCAGCCGGATAGTAAAACAATGTCCGCCTAAGTCGGATGTTCAAAACTGAGAAATAATCACAATACGTACTCTAAATTATTTTATTTATTAATTAAATTAGGCATATAGTAACCGGATAAATAGAAACTACACATTCCTTTAATTGTGAAGTTAGACAACGTAAGCTACTCGTAGTAGTACTCAAATTTAATTATAGGGGAATTATGATGGCTGACCATCTATAAATAGTAATTCATTTCGCATGCCATCATATTTTTTCCTGATTCTATTTTCATTTACCATTCCATTAAAACAATCCCAAAACTTGTGAGATTCGTGAGTGATAGCTGATCCAGTCTCGTCACCTGTTTTTTTTAGCAAGCGGTAGATACGCAGCGATATTTTAAATCTAACATGATATTTTGTCAAACTCTTTCAGCTTCTACAATTTCGCAGCAACAAGGCGAATAACTGACGATCAGACCTTGGTGTTCGTCAGATATCCGGTGCCTACCCGACCAATTTACTAACCGTTTAAATCTCCAATATACATTTTGTACGGTCAGCTTAAATAGGGTTTAAAAATACAAACGACAAAAATAAATCTCATTATTCGAGTGCCTTCTAAATCTTATAGGAATCAAATGTTTACGTCAATAAAATCCAAATTATTGTCCTAAGTGTGGGTGAAGTGATCACGACATACAGCAACATAATGCTCCTGCCCAAATAAAAAACAAATTAATCAATATAAACTTCCCATTACAGAAAGGCATCATCCTAAAGCACCACTCCATTATCAGCATAACCAAGGACGCTCCTATGCTTAAAATGTTTATCGGCACATCGCCGGAACTTGAAATGGCCTTATACACACTTTGCTTCATGGCCCGTCCAGACAAGCCTTGCGAATTAATTTACAATAATGTAACTTTTACCATTTATACTAAGACGATTAATGCAGAGAACACAATTCTTATTGACACTGCTTATCCTGGATTTTAAGTACAGGGACATTACATAGTTCATTCCCTAAGATAAAAAATATAAATATTAATTTGTCAGGGCTCGATCTGCACGTAGATTACTTTTTCATATTTTTATCTCTCTTAATAAAATTCTTAGTATTTGTATACAAAAGCATTTTACCATTGCTAGCTTCATAATATAGGCCTCAATTTCGAGATAATATGAAAGATGTGATGAAAATGGAAGTAAATTACTTCGCTACTCCGCGAACTCAGGGAAGGTTAAATAGTTGCGCTAGTGTTGATGAAAAAAAATTTATGCAGTTAATTTTGTCACCATCCCCCTCCGCATAAAATTAATAACACAAACGCACCGAGTTCACGGAGCAGCAAAGCAATTTATTTCTATTTTTACTTAATGGATTTCCTGCAAGTTCTAAGTCTATAAATGAAAGATGTATTCTAATAAATCAAAGTTGCAAGTTATTGAATAAATGATTTACCATCTGCGCAATTGTATTTTTAATAATCAGGTGTTTTGTCTTGATCTTTGATATTCATGATTTTCTTTTCCTCGATTGTTTTCTTTAGCTCACTTTCAAGGTTAATATGATTTTATCAATCAATTACCACACGTAAAATAGGTGCTCTAGACATGGAGTTGCGTACACTAGCCCGTTACACTATACCGGACTATCAACCATTAACTAAAGAGCATAAAATAAATTACATAAGTAGAGGAATTTATTATTTTCCATCCTCTAAGGGAAATACGTACAAATTGACATAGGGTTTTATTTATAGTCATAATTCTTCAGTGGTAATACACAGCACAGTCATATTCTACACCAATAGTCTTTCGTTCATTATTTACTAAAAGTAATAAACATTTATAGAATAAAAATAACACAAAAAAATTATTCGTAGTTTAACTGAGACCAAACAAAAACTATTTTGTCCATAGACAATGGACAACATGACATTATGTCAGGAAAGTTTACAAATATAACCCAGTGTCCTTCTAGGAACAACAGGGCAAGAAGCGTGAGCCCAATGCGAACAATTGAAGCATTACCGTAACCAGTCTTTTCCGGGCTTAGATCGATAAAAAAGATCGTTGCAATATATGCAAGGACAGCCTTCTTCGTTAACTCGAGGGTTACATAGAAAATTTTCTTCTTCACTGTCATCTTCAAACAACTTTGTAGTGACGTTTAGTCTCTTCTTTGCTGGGGAAGCTTCGGGCTCATTTTTCGATTTAATTTCCCTTGAATTTCTTTTATATTACGAGTAGCAGTTAAAACTAATCTGAGATCTGCCTAGTCTTTCGTTTACGTTTTCTTTGTCCATTAATGAATTTGGGGCTGAAGAAAGTTATATTTTATTATAATGAAAAAATTAAGTCAATTAAGTTGAACTCCTTTAATGAGCGCATAAGCACAAAATGGTATACCTATGTCAGTATCCGTTGTTTATATATGCCGTTTTGTACATATAACGGTTTTAAGAAAGAAAATTCAAAAATTAACACACAACTTTTTTTTTAAATCTTGTTTGTGGGTACCAACTATACTGTGGGATAAAATAAATGCAACAACAATAGGTACATTAGCAAAAAAACTTATCATTTATAAAGAAACACTTGTCGTAAAGAAAACTCGTAAACGTTCAAAACCTTCACGTGCACGTTTTGATAGGTTAGTAAAAGCCACTTGGGTCATTTGATGCAGTTGTCAGTTGCGTGCAGAGTCCACAAATTTCAAATTATGCCAACTATGGTATTTTGTCCATATAAATGTCATTTTATACGTATTTCCCCTACCTATACTAGTCACAGCAAGATCTTCTTTAGTAGGTACAGAGTCAAGAGCACGTCAAGCTTGACACTTAAGATTTAAATCCAACTATGCCGCTTACGATAAGAACGGTCCAAAGTACAAAGTGTTAAGCTTGACGTGCTCTTGACTGTAGCACTGCCGAACTGCCCTCGTTGTTATAAATAATGCATTCGCATTTCGGTAACTTTGAGATATTGGCACCTAAAGTTTTTTTGCTAGTAAAAAAATATCAATTACCTGATTTTGCGCCATGCCATTTTTTTCAATGATATCACCCACTGTAATGTACGGCTGACGTACACAATATACCTACATGTATTTTTTGTAAATGTACTCTATTAGTTTAAAAAAAAAAATACAATTACGGTGAATGATGTTGCTACGGAGAGGTCTCTTTTGCCACGCCGCCTATTTATTATTAATACTTGTCAATGCAATGTTAGCTATTTTTCTGAATTTAGCCAATGTACAAACGCTTTGTATTATGTACTTATATGTATGTAGATCTCGTTTCGCTGATCCCAGATATGTTAATGTTAATAACTCAATTTCTAAAAAAAATATCTAAGCTAAAAATATCGATTATTAACGTAATCGATAAAAATGATAACAATGGTAGTGAAGTTCGTCTCATTTGCTTTGCGAATCGTATCGTATTTCGTAGTAGACCACCTGTAACGTCTGACTACACATCTGATTGTGTTGGACATACTTACATTATTGCGTCTGGAACACTTTTTCGAAGGACGAATCACGACAATTAGGATTTAAAAAAAAAACTATATAAATACTCAATGATTGTTTTATTTTACCTGAACATTGTACAAAAATGAAGTGATTTGGTTTTGGTGGTATTTTCGTGATTACACAACTAATTATGACTTGTATGTATATATCAAAAAAAGCCGATAAGAAAAACATGAAAAATTATAATCTCCTTACCCAAGAACCTGCTTTTGGACTGTGGTATTATTTTCTTTTGACATTAATATTTGTGTAAAATATGTCTATTCCCTAAACGTACTTTTACTTACCCCGTTTGAATCTTTCCAATATCCGCAAGAGTCCAAATCAAACTTCACAGCCTTTATTAAAAATTTCTTAAGATTAGAGGATAGAAAAAAAAGAGATTCCGGCCAACTATTTGTGCTTGTATTTGACACTTGAGATTATTGTCTATGGCACTTCAACAGAGGTTTTGAAATTATTAAAGATTAATAGCGATTATTCTCACAGGACATTGGCGCAATCGCCATTTTTTTGTATAATTTTTATAATAATATTAAACTACCGTACATAGTTATTTTTACTTGCCATTGGCAAAATCATTGATTATTTCGACGGAGCCATAACATTTAAAAGAGGAAGAAGAAATTATTAAAATATTAAACTGACACTTTGTTTGGTATCATTTAAAATGTGATTAATTGGAACTTAAAACATTAAAAATGAACTGGGCAACATTAATGTGCGGGAAATACCAACGACAACTTTAGCTGTTATACATCTGTGTGTATCTATCTAATTTTAAGTTCCGATTCACCCTATAAATAATAATAAAAAATCTATTATTTAGAAGTATAGTAAATATATAGTATATATATAATATAGTAAACCTTAGAATAATAACGCATAGAATCCCAGTCCGCACACGCTAAGTGAGGCAAACTGTACTCAAGGTCAACTTGCACCGCGAACAGCTCAAGAATTTTGGCTAAAAATCACGATATGTACGGTAAATGAGTGTAAAAATACGTCAGTAATAAAAAAATAAAACAGATAATAACATCACATTCCACAAGGTAGTAAAGCGTTTTAACTTGTATTTTTATGTAAATATTCATTAGAACAGAAAATTAATTTCGTTGCAACAAGATACGAAAATGTTGCAAAGTAACGGATTTTTCTCTCCCCATTTTGCTATTCTGTTTCAAAATAATTATATTAAAAATTTTTTGAGAATAGGCATTATCGCGACCGTTGCAGAATTTCTACAAAATGTAAGTTATTTTTACGGAATATATTTAGAATTTGCCGTCATTAGTTTCATGTGAAGATCTTTGTTCTTGTTCATCATACAGGAGTAATTTTAATAAATTGTCTTGCCCAGACTCTATTTCAGGGAACACTGACTAAAAAAGTCATCGTCAGTTCTCCAAAGTCGTGTACAAATAATTTTCAGGTTCAGGTTCTTTACTGTTGTCATGTACTTTTCATGTGTTTATCCACAGACAATATAAAGCTATTTATATATCCGAATTTTCATGAACGAAAGTCAAATTCGATAGTCGAAAATAAACCGCTTTTAGGTTTTTGTTCATATATGAATTAAATAAAAATAGTATTTATTAACTTAAGAATTAAGTAAGAGACAATTTCCCCATTTTTGATGGAAATGTTATTCTGTGACATCATTATTTGTTTTGTGTGCATGCCGACGAGCGTAAATACAAGTTGCTTACATGAATTTGATTTTTACCTCACTTCTGACAGTTCCTTTGATATGAAACTATCATTCTATGCGTTATTATTCTAAAGTAAATAGTATAAGTATACCACCGAGTATATAACCAGAAAGTATACTTATTTGAAGAGAGGTATTACAGACATTTCACATAAATAAATTGTAAACAATTTAAAGAAATATTTGTCTATTTATTAAATTAAATCTATAAACTCTAGTTAGATCTCGGAATTACTTTAACTAAATTGATGTTAGGTGTAAAACATTTAGGATTAAAATGAAGTATAAGGATTATTATGCTAGATATTACATGCGTTTTCTACATACGTATCAGATTATTAGTACTAGAAAAATACATTGGTAGTACAGAATACATTATAATCAATACTTGACGTTAACACAAAATTATTAACACGTTCGTAATATGTAGGTATACTGCTTGCACATTTAGCAACTCATCATTACCTCCTAAGACCCAGCAAAGTATGCGCTAAACGAACATGATTCAGGCCCAAGCAAAAACACATTTTTGATACATTCTAGGTCATACAGAATACATGGCGCTAAATTCGAATGCGATATTTCATTACATGATGAATTATATTGGGCGTTTATGTGATCATAGGAATAATATTGTTTGAGTCTGGGCCACTACTCTCGAAGGACGAAATCCGTAATCACGGCCGTTTTCAACTATGCATGACGTACGGAACTACTCTTGAAGTCCGTCAACGAAAAGACGGGCCCGTTGGAAACTGTCACAAGCTTAATTCGAAATTATCAAATCGCGTTGTCATACATTCTAACTCTAGCCCCGAGCGAAACTCAAGACTACAGTCTTGATGACCTACAGGTCATCCATAGGAAAACGGCCGTAACTACTATATCCCGTATAAGCCGTATCTGGCTCCTGAATAACTTCATATAATTGTTATGTATATTTCGAATAACACGACGCATTAGGAGGTTAAATACTGCTGCTCCGGTTCTTTAGTGCTTCAGGCATTGTGGACTGCTTTTATGCTACCACGCGCAAGCGAAACCTACTCCCACTAACCGTCCGACATCTGTCCGAAACAATTACTGTCAAGTAATACTCGACAAAATCAAAAGATGATGTCTCAGAATTAATGAATGAGAACGGGAGTAGACCCCCTGGTGCGCCGGTTGCTGGCTAGCCCCAACCCCATCCAGCGCTCGATAGCGGACAGGCTCGACTGTCCATATCTGAGGCATTGCTGTGAATTGCATGTGTTTAGCAGTGTTTAATATGTATAATGTTGTACCTACTAACTAAAAACATATGAGTCATGCAATGTTACTCGAAATAAAATTATTATTATTTAAAAAATATCGCCCCCATCAAATAGAGTTGTAAATAGTATCTGTGGCAAGAGAGTACACGAATTTGCACGTGCAGTTCTCCTCCCAGTCCGAATTGTCCCTTACGATTTGTTTACTTCAAAGAACAATGGACCTACTGGATTGTTGATAACGCGTGATAAATTCACGGACCTGTGAAATTCGATTTTAGCCGTATTTATGAACAATGTTATATTAACATTATTTCGAGAATTTGACAGAAACAATTGTTTAGGACAACAATTACTTAAATATTTAAAATACAGCGGAGTTTCGGATCAGAGATTATGTAATAAAGTTCAATTGACGTAAAAGATATGTTACAACAGTTCATATTACAAAAACGGTATTCTTAAATTAGCTACGTTACAAATATTTCTGACTAGAACAATGTTGGCTGAGCCTATAGACTTGAAGCCTTATAGGAGTATTAGATATACGTTTCAGACTAAGTTATTATTAAATTAAAATATATAATATAATATATCACGTTGCACATATTTAGTGATAAAAAAAGTGAAAGCTAATTTTTAACCGACTTTTTGTATGTATGTACGGCGTGTTTGTGAACCGATTTTGATGATTCTTTTTTTTTTGTTGGAAAGAGGGTACCTCAGAAGTGGTACCATTTAAATTTGAACAAAATATTCCACCTCTAAGGGTAGGAAACTACGAGATAAATGACTTTTGAAGTCGGTTTTTTTAATACTCTGTACTGAGATTATTTGGGAATTGACAATTGCGCGTTAATTATTAATATTAATAATTAAAAATTGTGATGGAACTTAATTCTTCTTCAAACACAGAACTTCAAATAAAATTAATCAGCATTATAATCGTGTTTCTTGTCACTTTTAACTTAATAACTCAATGCTTTTCTCTAGATTATGTTACAATATCCACTGGTGGTTTTGACGACAGACGGTGGCGCGATGGGCACTGAGGTTCCGTTTTCAATGACCGACAAGACTAATTTGAGAAACAAACTTTTCTTATAGGAATGAAACTATTTTTCCGGATTTAAAACTTTTCTTTTTTGTCCCTGGTCTGGCTGTCCTCTTGAATTTGCGTTATTCTGGTACTCATACCACAGGCACCTCCTAGTTGATAATAGGAGTGACTCTGCATATTATTATTCTATAATAAATATTAGACAACATCACATGTTACTCTAATCCTAAAGTAAGTAACTAAAGCACTTCGGAAAGCAGAAGCAATGACGGTATCACCCAAACCTGAGACATTATAGAAAAGCTTGTTTTCTTCATTGGCCGGTCGAAGATCGAACCCGGGACCTCAGAGATGGCGACACCGTGATAACCGGTGTGCAAGCCACTCGACCATTTCATAATGATTATTATTCGTCATTTCATAATGATTATTTATTATTCTTTATGTTAAAGTTTCACTCGAACTTACTAGTGCAATTTCCAGAAATATTATGCAACTTGACATACATCTACATAAAGTTAGGAGCAAGAAAATCTGGCCCTCCTATCGTTCACATTATGAAATTGCCTTTTTTATTCTTTTCATTGTGACACTTTGATTGAAGGAGGTAATAGATATTTTGCTGTAGACTCAATTCACATAGATTTATTCAAAGAAATTACTTTGAAATTTGAACACACATAATTATGCTTAATAATAATGTAGGTAACAATTTATTTATATTAATTTAATATCAAAATATTTAACAAAGCATACTAGCAATAATACTAGCAAAACTGCTCTAAAAAGGTTACTCTTAAATCTAAGATATATTAAACATCGACCACAACATTTTCTGAAATGTACACTTTTTTAAATTATTTTATTTCACAGATAGTCCAGTACAGTCAAGGGAAAAACACATATTTATTATTAAAGAAAATAATGTCCGGTCATAAATATGCATTCGCGTCTGAATTGTCTAAATACAACATTTAATTTGAAAAAAGAATGGCTGCGATCGTCTTTTAAATTACGGTTAAACGTTCTGGTACGTGTGGCCAGTTATTCATATGAATGTTGTTATCATAATTAAACTTTTTTAGCGTTCCTGTAAATATGTCCATTTTAGATACAGAGTTTTTTAAATCTACGAATTTTGCCCATGACTGTGCTTATTTAAAATTTTAGTTATAACAAATTATCAGGTATGACTATCTTTTGAGACGATAAGGAACATTACACTTTTTGACAAGTATCGTACATAAGATAAAAAATTATATAACTTGACAAATTAGACAAAATAGGATCCATACTCGTGAGGCATAACCCCCCTCCGCGGGTAGAAGGTATGCGTTAAAGAATAATTCAACAGATTCGTGATATTCGAAGTGTAGATATCTGCAAATCGGAACAGTCTGCGCGAGAAATATGTGGGATTGTGATATGTCCTGAAGACGCTACCGAATTGAGGATTAAATACCGCCTTAATTTCGTTCCTGGAATTGTATAAACATCTCCTACAATGCGTCAGCGTGTAAAGCAAACATAAAAGCGTTATTTACAACTGCCAATCTGTAGAGGGTAAACACACAAGGAAAAAATTTTGATTAGCAAATACGATACAATCAGAGAGTGTGAATAAAAATCATCATCAGAATTTATAGACGGGTTTCTTTCAAGGCACATTTTATTATTAATATGGACCCCAACCCAAATCACTTTCACCGCATTTGAATTATTGCCCAATTTATTACATCCATGTGTTGAGCGCATCTCTAGAGCCTCAGCACTATTCGCGGCATCATCATGGCAACCAATAATAAGTATTCAAAATTCTCAGTGGTGTGCACAGATTAAACAATTTTCAATCTTACATGGTGTTTCAACTTACAAATAATCTTAACATGGTAGCAGAGCGTGGTTTCGATCCACCATGTTTATGCTCAAGTCATGTTTATAGTTAAATAATTAAAAAAAAACAGGAAATAACTATTTTGATTTTTTGGTGGTTATTATGTAGTGTATGTAAGTAAATAGACATGCCTTCAGAATGTTTGTATGCTTAATGATAAGCTGGGCACAGGTCACACTGATGTTTATTTTTAACCGACTTTAACTCGAACTCGAGGAGGTTTTCAATTCGACTATATGTTTTTTTTTGTATGTATGTTACGCGATAACTCCGGTGTTTGTGAGTCGATTTTCATGATTTTTTTTTTTTTTTTGTTGGAAAGAGGGTACCTCCATAGTGGTCCCATTTCATTTTGAAGAAAATCATACACCTCTAAGAGTGGCTGTTCACGCATGAAGATTCATTTTTATAAATAGCGACAAAATTTTATTATAAGGAGCAATTATTTTAATGGTTGGTTGTTGCTATTCTCCAATTGAAGGCGTTTTTCTCTCTCAATATACTTTGAGTAGTGAGAACCGATTTTTATTATCTCACGTCTCAAGGCCCGTGTAGTGGCGAACTAGGGGATGAATCCGGGATTGCGTACTTTCCGGTAACCGATTTCAATAAAACTTGGTAATATGTAATTCCACGTACTTTTGAGGTCGGTTTTTTAGTACTCTGTACTGAGATTATTTTACTGTCAACGTATATACAAACAGTATTTCCGCAAATAATGAATATTAATAATCAACAGAAACAACGTTTGTTCTAACTTCAATTTTTAATAAGAAAATTTCAAAATCTCGTACAAATCTACACAACTGACCCAAATTGCACGCACAGTCGAACAATATTTATTTCAATTTACAAAAGTAGAACTAAACTTCCACATAAATCTTAGGAATCTCCGCCAAAAAACCTTGTTTTTTATTTTATTAACACCCTAGTGCATAGCATGGTTACGTCATTAGCAAATTAACAAATTGCTTCAATGCAATAGTATCCTTGATTCATTCAAGCTACAATAACATAGCGACTAATAGCCCAGTACGACTAACGAGTTCCACACACAGAGCGCGATGCGGTTGCTATACAAATACAATTTAACCGGAAGTTTGCGATGCTGTCTCGACATTAGCTACAAAATGCCACTTCAGCTTGATGCTGTTTGTAATTTAGTTCAGTGTTTGGGATAGATTATTTGACGCTTTCTTCTTTTATAATTAGCTAGCCTTTTTAATTTCTATTATACTTTTTCTACGAAGTTGTGTCAGATGATATCTGTGCATATTTTCAATGTATATTTACAGTAGGTACCCATTTTTGTCGCCGTCTTTTTAAACTCTTTGGACTACCGAGCAATTTCCATGTTTAGTTTACGACGCAAGACATGTACGTTCGAAATAAGACTTAGATTTGTTTTTCAGCGTTGGTTTTTTCTCAAAAGCCACCAACTACAGGTGTTTCGTAAATGAATTAGCTCTTATTATTAAAGTTAGAAGTTACAAGAAGTTACTGTCAGTGCAATGATGGTCAAATTAAATCGCCGTAATTTAATTTGTGCGCTAAATAGTTTTAAATTTTACATGGAAACCGCGTTGCAGTCGGTGTGTGGTGCTCGTTATAAGCATAATTTTCCGGACGGTATCTCGTAAGTCTTTTCAAGTCAATTGCAGATTAATTATAATCTTTAATGACGACGGAAAACACCGTTATGATAAATATTAAAGGTGTGTATAAATCCCAGGGAGTGAGGGTCCACCAGGAGCTTTGTCTACTGGAGAATGGCATGGAATATCATTAGAGTGGCCGACCGTGAGATGTATATGAGTTGATTCTGTCGCCGTCAACTGTAGTCTATTTTGAACTATAGTAACTCAAGCACAACTATGCATTTATATTAGCAGCAATAGCGTCTGTTAAAATCGTTACGAACACATTACATGTAATTGTGTAACGGTCACATGTACGACTTTTTCTCATTTCATACATACGATCGATCGGTGTTCGTTTTAGATCCATGCTCGCGTGAGATTGATTGTACGCCACACACTCCACACACATACCTTAGGCCAAATTATACATATGCAATTTTGAGTCAATTGAATGACCTTAAAGGACCGAACACATTGCGGCTGCGATGCGTGGCTGCGTTGCACGTTATTGTAGGAACATTTTTATATCAATTTTTGTACTTACAATACGCACTTAAATAACGCGTCAGGCAAATACGCGCCGCAGGCAAGTGCATTTGGAATTTTAAGTACATGCAAATTTTTATATTACCACAAAAATATACGAACCTAAGATAGTCTCTCTCTGCCATCCATTCCTCAAGGACCTCTAGAGCCTCGGGTTGTTTATAGTCCTGGTGGTCCTCGATTAGTTGGGTCAGCATCTGTAGCCAGTTTGCGTTCTGCTTAAATGACACCGTGTTTAGCGTGTTGATCTCGTGCTGGAATATTACAACAAATTATCACACTTTAGACATGAAGCACAAGAATACCAAAAAAAAAAATCTTCTAAAAAAAATAGCGGATAGGTTTTATTGAAACCATTGACTTACAAATAAATGGACGAATGGGTCTAATACAAAAACCACGAAAAAAATGTCCCAAGTCAACCTATTCGAAATTTAAATTGTAATGTCATCGCAGTATCGCGCTGTCAGTCGAACAAATGAAGACTAAAGCGGAGTTTGGCGCTCTGTATAGGATTTAGCGCCTTACAAGTGCGGACACTTTTTAGCGCGGACCCGACGTCCATATAATTGTAAGTCAATGATTGAAACAGAATTTGTTAAAAATCAGTTTTTGGCTTCTGACAGAATCCGACCATGGGCCTCTGTCCTCTTTCGTTTTGGTAAAATTGAAACCCCATGAAGCACTCTTTAATCATGACAAAAATCGAGTTCTTTCTTCTTCTTCTTCGAGAAATTGTTACACATAGGAATTGAAACTATTCCAGATTTAGTGAAAAAATAGGGTGGTTTGCATTAATATTAGACATAACTGTTGTAGACTTTACCACCTCAGTCCACTGTGACCGTGGGACCTACAAAGGACCCGAAACGCTGGTTTGTTTGAAAAAACCAACATACGCGATTTAAATCCGGAAAAATAGTTTCATTTCCTATATGACAAAAATGTTTATAAAATCCAGTTCTTAGGTTTTCGCGATTGTTACACATAGGTTTGTTTGAAATAACAAATATACGCGATTTAAATCCGGAAAAATAGTTTCATTTCCTACGTTCATAAAACTTAAAATTTTGTATCTCGTTACTTCAAACCTCTACGTCTACAGTTTCAAGGTCAAGGGTCATAGCGCAATGATATTTAATTTACAATGTCCTCAATGCCGACTATTGATTATATTATAAATATCATAAACCAAAAAGGGAAATTGGAGAAAAAAGAGAGAATGGAGTCATTTGAAATGTAGTGCTGGAGGCGAATGGAAAAAATAAAATGGATTGAAAAGACATCAAATGAGGAAATTTTGGAAAGTGTTGGGGAAGAGAGAAGTCTTTTACATGCAATAGAGAGGAGAAGGGGAAACATGTTTGGACATTTGTTACGTAATGATGAATTTGTGAAAGTGATAATTGAGGGGAGGAACAAATAAAAAAGATGTGAACAGTGAACAGCTACAAAGAGGTCAAAGAACTGGCTCTGAACCGTGTGGAATGGAGAAGACTACACCGACAAGAGTCCAAAATAAAATGATGATCATGAACCAACCGTTAACTCGTTAATAATGGCACCAGTTCGCCACCCATGCTCCAAGGTGACATCAGCAAGATCGGTGTACGGGTGGTCTCCGAAGTATAACACTTGATGCCCACTCCAGCCAGTCAGGTCCTGAAGCTGCTTGACTGTGCCCTGCAAATAGACAAATATGTACAAAAATAATAGGGTTCCAAACAAAACTGTGAATTACCTATCAACAGTCCTATTTGCGTAATTTTATATTTTTTCAGCCTAATAAAATTTACGATCATTGATATATTTTTAATAACTTGTCTCTCTATTTATCTCTCCATCTCACTAATTAACTGCCTCCTTGGCCGAACGGTTACCATACGCCGAACGACTGCCACACAGAGGTCTCAGGTTCGATTCCCGGGCCGGGATAAATATTTGTATTGCCTACATTTATTTATCTCGTGAGTTTGGGTGTAATTTGTGGTTGTCCATGAGTGTGTCCATGGCATCCGCGACACAGGGTTTCCCTAGAGCGGGGCTGTATTAAGTTTACGCTATTATTAATTTCTGTTTATTTTGGCAACCACTAGTAATCCACCAACCGCGAGAATTTCGACAAAAAAACTTACAACATTGTTTTACCTTGGTTTTCAAATAATAAAAATAATAATTGAGATGCAATTATAATAATAATTGCATCTCAAACTAGGGAATGAAGCCTTGGTAGTCTAACGGCTTGACCTACTGCCTATCAAGCAGAGAGTCGGGGGTTCGAAACCTCTTGAGTTTCTCGGAATTTATGTGCGAAATTTAATTTGAACTTTATCATGAGCTTTCAGCATAGTGATGAAACCTGCACGTTGAAGAAGGTTCCCAACACCCGGAAAACGTGTGAACTCCCCAACCCGCATTGGGCCAGCGTGGCGGACTATAGCCTAAATCCTTGTCTGAAAGGAGATCCGTGCCCAGCAGTGGGACGTATAAATGGGTTGATGATGAAACTAGGGAATCATTCAAAATTCAAAATAATCTTTATTTCATAGGTAAGCATTATTACACTTGAAATCGTCACAATGGTTAAACTCTACCGCTCATTCGTAAGGCAGATTCCCCTGAGAAGAATGAGCAAGAAACTCTAGGGAAAGAAACTCTAACTCTTTCTAAATAACATTTGTACACATTCAACATTTACAATATTTTTTTTTTATTCGAAACATCAGAGATCGAGACTACCTTCATGAGCTAAACGGGTTACCACCACGGATTTTTGTCATCTAAGTACGCAGAAGTTGTATAATAACCTTTAGTATAAAGTTTTTATTTCACTATAGTTTTAAACCTCGTGAAAGGCAAATTTTGTATATCAACCGGAATTTTGTTATGGAAGCGTATACATTGCCCCTTAAATGACTTTTTGACTTTGTGAGGACGACTATCAAGAAAAGCTAGTTTATTTTTATTCCTCGTATTAATGTTATGTCTGTCACTATTTTTCATACATGACCTTGTACTGTAAATATCAGAGTAAGGGAATTCATCAAGGCGAACTTGCCAAAACACACAGACCAGAACCAATTCAGAAAAGTTAATTCCCATTTGTTTCCAAATTCCAATTTGGGTCCTACCAAGAATCGAACCCGGGACTGGGACAGAAAAAAATCGCTGCCTTTTCTTGTTTACCTACTTAAAAAAAAAGGAGGAGGTTCTCGATCCGACGATCGATTTATTTTTTTGTATGTATGTTACGCGATAACTTCGGCATTTATGACCCGATTTTTTATGATTCTTTTTTTGGTGGTAAGAGGGTACCTCAGTATTGACCCCATTTAAATTTGAAGAAAATATTCACCTCCTAAGAGTGGCAATCCGGTTTCGCGCATTTTCCGGTAACCGATTTCAATAAAACTTGGCAAATAGATGTAATTCCACGAACTTTTGAGGTCGGTCTTTATAGTACTCTGTACTGAGATTATAACTTTGTACAGTCGAGTAAAAAAGAAACAATTATTAGTATACCTTCTTACAAAAACATACTTGCTGTGCATTACTTGCGATGGTAATAGTCCCTTGTGCAATGATGAAATCAATCGCCACACAAAAGTAAATAAGTACGGGTGATATTGATCGAAATGGAGCGAGCAAAGACATCTTGTCTTGCAATGAAATAATCTACGAACGGAATGACTTGGTCGTTCCTCAACGGATATGCATGAAATTTTGAAACTAGTATATAAAATACAATTTTACTTGTAAACGGACCTGTTGTGACGAGTCCCAAGTTTTGAATTTCAATTTTTGACTTGAGAAAATTGAGATCAAAGGTCACATGTTAAGTCTATACAAAAAAATATACATTGGTAAAAATTTGTGTGCGCTAATGTACAGGACTGTGGAAATTAAAAAAAAAGACTAGCGGTTCGGTAGTGAATCGACATTACGGCTGGCATTTACAGTGTAATAAAATAAACCACACAACACAGAGGTGTCAGACGTACAGGTACCTACTCTCGTATATGTACGATCATTCTTAAATTATGTACGATTTACTAGGTAAAATGTGTTCTCGTACTCAAAAGTAGGTGAATTGTATATTTCAATATTATTTTATTTTTATTTATTTATCTAAAAGGAGCAACAGCTTAAAACTAAACAAAATAATAACAACAACAACTGAGAGCTAATTACAGATCCTCACAAATAGAAATATGATAAGGAACCTGGATGCACAATTTAACTAACTTATATGTATAAAACATAAAAAGATCGCAAGTTGTAAGCTTCACTATAGTCATAGTGAAGCTTACAACTTGCGATCTTTTTAGCATAGCAAAGCGGTGCTCACTCAGTGCTCTCGGAAATCACACTCACATTGAAAAGATTTTTTTTTAATAATTTTTGTACTCGCTATACCAGCGTTATTTTCTTTTAAACCAATGAGGGCGCGTTCCCACTATGTCGTAACGTTTTATTTATCGTTGGACAACTGTCGTGTCTAGCTGTTCCCACTAGATCGTGACAACAATTTATCGTGACAACGATGAATAAAACGTGACGGCAATAGTAGCTGCGATTATCTGTCAAATGATGATAATGACAAAGTTGCTAATAGTGCTGAAGCAACTGATGATGCTTATATATGTATATAGTATAATGCTCATGATGCTGATGCTGCTGACGTTCCTTTGACGCTGATGCTAATGATGCTGATGGTGCTTATGGTGCTGATGATGCTGCTTATGATGCCGATGATGATTATGCTAAAGTTGCTGATGATGGTGGTGGTGCTGATATTCTGATGGTGCGGATGATGCTGATGGTGCTGATGACAATATCGATGTCATGCCCGACCATCAGTCATCATCAGCACCATGAGAATCATCAGCACCATCATCATCACCACCACCAGCATCATCGGCACCTTTATCATAATCTGCATCATGAGCACCTTCGGCATAATCAGCATCATAAGCACCATCAGCATCATTAATATCAACAGCATCAAAGCACTAACAGCAGCATCATCATCATCGGCATTATATAAGCATCATCAGCTGCGTCAGCATTATTATGTATCTATGTATGTGGAACACCTTTTTCCAACCATTGGTCATCACTTTTTTATCCTGACGTTTTGTTTATCGTCTGACGACTGTAGTTCTAGCTGTTCCTAAACGACGACAAAAAACGTAAACGACAGTTAATCGTGTCGTACTATATGTGAACAACTTCGTTTAAATATACAAGCCATGACGCGGTAAACTACACGACTATCTATCGTCACGACATAGTAAGAACGCGCCCTAAGTGTTACTGTCGTTTTAAACCAATCGACAAATAAGTCTGCTAATCTCGATGGGGCTATACAAGAAACCTACGGGAGCAGTGCCCCCGGCATTACGGGCCACAGACTGATTGATAACTTAGAGAGTAGACGTGATCCAATTTTTTCGTGTATCAGTAGGTAGGTAGGTCGACTGTCGATGACATCAGCCTCGTGGTTAGCACTGTGGCCGATGGATGTGAAGGCTGCTTCTTGGAAGGATGTGAAGAACTTTTCTGGTCTTGGTGTTCCGGGCAATGTCCCCAGAGTTCATTTCGTTGCACTGGTACTCATAGTAAAGGGCAATCCCGAGTGTGAGACCGGATAATTGGTCCACACCAATTGTTATCACTTTTCTGTTCATCTTTCAACAAAATTATAGCCAAGTACATTGAGTCAATGGCCAAGTCTTAGAATAATAACGCATAGAATGATAGTTTCATATCAAACGAACTGTCACAAGTGAGGCAAAAACCAAATTCATGTAGGCGTAAGCAACTTGTAACTACGCTCGTCGGCACGCACACAAATATACAAATAATAATGCCATGGAATAACATTTCCCTCAAAAGTGGGGAAATTGTATCTTGCTTAACTCATCATTAAGTTGACGGTGCCTACAGATTTGCCCGACATTGTCGATCAGGTGCCTACAGATGTGCTCGATTTTGTCGATCGTTACTGTCGATCGACAATGTCGATCAGGTGCCTAGAGATATGCTCGGTTTTGTCGATGAAAAACGAATATAGCACTTATTTGTAAATCCAAGATGGCGGACACGATTTTTCAAAATATGCTATATGGGTATCCTTTTCGAGGTATTTGGGGATGCTCATTACGAATATGGCACTCATTTCTAAATCCAAGATGGCGGACACGAGTTTTCAAATAAATGCAATATGGGTATCATTTTCGAGGTACTTGGGGGTGCTCATTACGAATATGGCACTCATTTCTAAATCCAAGATGGCGGGCACGATTTTTCAAAAAAATGCTATATGGGTATCATTTTCGAGGTATTTGGGGGATGCTCATTACGAATATGGCACTCATTTCTAAATCCAAGATGGCGGACACGATTTTTCAAAAAAATTCTATATGGGTATCATTTTCGAGGTATTTGGGGATGCTCATTACGAATATGGCACTCATTTCTAAATCCAAGATGGCGGACACGAGTTTTCAAATAAATGCAATATGGGTATCATTTTCGAGGTACTTGGGGATGCTCATTACGAATATGGCACTCATTTCTAAATCCAAGATGG